ATCTTAAACTTTTGAGAGACAAACTGGCAGATGGGGTAAATTTTCTAAATTCTAATAGTAACTTAGAATGTGTATCTTGTCTGATGGGTAAGCAAACAAGGCAACCTTTTCCAAAGCGTAAGGTTAAAAGAGCTAGTGAAGTACTTGAGTTAGTACATTCTGATATTTGTGGGCCAATGAGTATCAACTCTATGTCGGGGGTACAGAATTTTTATGACACTTAGAGATCATTAGACAATGAAACCTTTTGTCTACGTACTGAAGAAAAAGAGCGAAGCTGTTGAGAAAATAAAAGAATTTAAAGTTTTTGCAGAGAGGCAAACAGAGAAGAAGCTGAAGTCAATCCGAACAGACAACGGCAAAGAATATGTGAACAATGAAATGAAAAGTTTCACTAAGAAGTACGGTATAGTTCATCAACTTACTGTCGAGTATACCCCTGAGCAGAATGGGGTGGCAGAACGTGCAAATAGAACTCTCATGGAAAAAGCTAGGTGTATGCTGCATGAGGCAGGATTAGAAAAACGCTACTGGGCAGAGGCTCTTGTATATGCAGTTTTTCTTAAAAATAGGTCGCCTACGAAGGCTCTCAAGGATAAAACACCTGAAGAAGCTTGGACGGGAAGAAAGGTGAACCTAGGCTTCGTGAAAGTTTTTGGGTGTAAGGCCTACACGCACGTTCCTGACCAAAAGAGGCGCAAGCTAGATCCAAAGAGTAAGGAGCTTATACTTTTAGGATACTGCGAAAATTCCAAAGCGTACAGACTGTTGGATCCTGTTTCTGGAAATCTTCATAAGGCAAGAGATGTAGTATTTTTTGAGAATAATATAGTTTCACGGAAACAACCATCTAGTGAGATTTTGACTATTAGACAAAATTCTGCTTCTCATCAAAGACCGATTCCGGAGTTCACTGTGGTACCACTAACAAGTACTCAATCAACGGAGGAGGTGGTCTGTGGAGAAGAGATAGAGGATGGTTGTAGAAATGAAACAGAGAGACACCTCTCAGGGAACGGAGGAGGTATTATGATGCCTGAGTCAGAGGATATTGGAGCTAATATAGAACAGGACAGAACAGGTGCTGTTTCTTCAGTTACGGAGGAGACTGAAGACAGAGATGATACTGAACAATGGTATCTGAGTTCCGATGCACCCGTTTCGGAGGAGAATGATCATAGAGGTGATCAAACGGATGCACGGAGATACCCTATGAGAAACAGAAAGCCACGACAATTCCCTGATCACGTTCTATATCAAGCAGTTCTACCCGGAGAGAGTGGTTTTGGTTTGGAGGAACCTATAAATGTCAGAGAAGCACTCGCAGGGACAGACAGCTTACTTTGGCGTGAGGCTATTAAGGAAGAATTGGATGCTCTTCACAAGAATCGAACTTGGCAGCTAGTAAAGAGAGAGCCAAAACAAAACGTGATCGATAGCAAGTGGGTTCTTAAAGTTAAGACTGAAGCTGGAAACAAGCAACGATATAAGGCAAGGCTTGTAGCGAGGGGCTTCAAACAACGCGGAGGTGTTGATTACTTTGAGACATATTCACCTGTGATCAGGCATAGTTCATTGCGTCTTCTGTTGGCAATGGCTGCCGAGAATAAATTAAAAATTGATCAAATGGATGTGAAGACCGCTTTTCTTAATGGGTACATTGAAGAGACAGTGTACATGAAGCAACCTGAAGGTTTTGAGGAGAAGGGAAAAGAGGATTACGTGTGCTTACTGAAAAGGTCGTTGTACGGTTTGAAGCAGGCCCCAAGAGCTTGGAATCAAAGGTTGGACTCAGCACTGAAACAGTTGAAGTTCACTCAGCTAGACAACGAACCATGTGTTTATATAAGGAGAAGTCAACACAGGCTAATAATCCTAGCGGTGTACGTTGATGATCTATTGATTTTTTGGAACAATAAAGCAGAGATGCAGCAAGTCAAGAAGGAGTTAAGAGATACCTTCGAGATGCGTGATCTTGGTAAAGCGGATTTGTTTCTGGGAATGCGTCTACAACAAACTGAAGATGACATTACACTAGATCAGGAAGGCTATATAGAGAAAATATTAGCCAGGTTTAACATGCAGGACTGCAAACCTGTTTCTACACCTCTCATTGCTGGTTATAGGTTGACCAAACCGGTGGAAACAAATTATGAGCCGCCTAATAACATTCCTTATCAAGAATTAGTAGGTTCTATAATGTATTTGGCAGTCTGCACAAGACCAGATGTAGCTTTTGCAATAAGTTACTTGAGTCAGTTTAATAGTTGCTATGGAGAGCAACATTGGCAGACACTAAAAAGAGTTCTTCGCTATCTTAAACGCACCAAAAGCCTGGGGCTGGTGTTTAAACAAAGTGGAAGAGATTTAGAAGGATTTGTTGATGCAGATCATGCGGGTGATGTAACAGATCGCAAGTCCTATTCAGGTTATATTTTTAAATTTGGGTCTGCACCTGTGAGTTGGGAAAGCAGAAAACAAACAGTAGTTGCTTTATCAAGTGCAGAAGCGGAATATATTAGTTTGTCAAATGCTGCAAGAGAAGCAGTTTTCCTTAAGAGGTTATTTGGAGAAATAACTGGACTTAACAAGACTATTAAGCTGAGTAGTGATAGTCAGTCTGCAATAGCTATGGCAAACAGTGAGGACTCTTGCCATAAGAGGTCAAAGCACATTGACGTTAGAGTTCACTTTATCAGAGAGGCACTTCGCAACAAAGTGATCAGTCTGAAGTATCTGGGAACAGAGTCGATGGTAGCTGACATATTCACAAAGGCCCTGCCAAGAGGAAAGTTTGAGTTATGTTTGAGAGGCATGGGTATGAATTTGTGTAAGTGTTGAGTGTGTATCGAATGAGTGATTGAGTGGCCTTATGAGTAGCGCAATGTTACGGAGGAGTGTTAGAGATTTCATAACATTCCGCTAAGGATTACTGGCCACTTACAGATAACAGTGTTGTTACATTTGAAAATTGTACTGTTCCAGTGTGTGTCAATCGCAGTCGAGAAAAACGTCTTTGTAAAAACTGTCTTGTATAATTATGTATTTCGTGTTAATTTAATATATTTTTATTATTCTATGTGTCAATAATTTATCTTCATTGAATTCATCATTGATTGGGAATAAATCTTTCCCATCAATTTTGAACACTGTCAATTGTTACTTCTTGAATTGTGCCTGTTTCAATTGTTTCTTCTGCATCACCCATGCCTCCATTTAATTCATAGATAATAATTCCTCACTCGTGGTCACAGTCTGCTCATTATTTTTCAAAATATTTTCAAAATCCGCAGCAGTTATTTTCAAAGTAATCTTTTGTTCCCAGTCTTGAATGGTAGTATTTTTTTCTAAAAATGGTTTGATGGGCTTGTCCATCTTTGAAAATTTCTTTGCAGCTGTCATTTTTGCTCAAAAACTGGAAAATCTCTAAAAAATATAAGTAGATGTTGCTGGGCCCATAACCTCTCGAATGGTAGATGTGGCTAATGGGATCACTTTCAAGCCAAAAAGACACTTAAGGACTGATAAGAAAACTATTTATTTCAACTTAATCATTTTGAACTTATTTTTAACGAAACGTAATCATTATAAAATTTATGTAAAATACAATAGTTATGTCAAATAGCTAGACATGTTACTTCTTTAAGCGATTTTCACGGAATCCATCAAATATGACAATTCAGTCTGAACAAATAAAACTAATATTCCAAATTTAAAGTAATTCAAACATAATACATAAATCAAACAGGTCACAGTTGACATCAAAAGAGTTTGTATAATCTGAGATTATCAATCAACAACATCTTCGTAACCGGACTAAAAAAAATTGTTTTTGGTTAGTGTTTTGATACACCTCTCCAAGGGGTCAGATGACTTATGCCTCAGGAGAACTGCATCTAGTGCGTTTATATTGATTGGTAACATCGGTGACTGTTGGAATAAATTTATCTCAAACCCTCATCAGGTAGCCTCAGAGACGTATGCGAGAGAGAGGCAAGCATCACTACATAGTATAAAATAAAGTCGTCCCGCTGTCTGTCGGTCCCTATGTATGCTTAGATCTTTACAACTACGGACCTTGATGCGGTCTTTTTACTAAATATAGTGATTCAAAAGAAAGTTTATATGTATATAATACATTTCACCCGTGCGAAGCCGGGGCGAGTCGCTAGTTGATTAATAAATAAGATTTAATTTTAATATTGTGTTGTCCAAAACGAGTCAAAAACGCCAAATTTACCTCACAAAAATATATGAACTCCTTTAGAACAGAAGAAAAATCATCCTTCACGATGACTTACAAATCGTCAAACAGAATCCATTTTTTTAATGTTACACACTCAAAATTTACTGTGACATAAAAATATGTACAAAGTTATAAAAAAAATGGAAATCAATAAGTATGTTTACGGTCTGAACAAAAATTGTGGATTAAGAAACTATCGACTATGTAGCCCGCCCCGACCTCCCGGTCCATGCGGCTGTCAGCCCCAGGTACCAAGCTACCAAACCATTATGCCGCCGCCCGCTACGTGTCGAAAAGTGGATATACCGCCCAACCCCTGCGTACCGCGGTATCATCACGGCAAGGGCACATGGAGAAAATATAAATATATTGCATTATTCATCTGTTTCCCATTAATACTGATCCAAAGTTTACATGTAATGGGACACAGAACACCTTCTAAAGAAAGCTGTCGAGAATATGAATACATGCGTAGACGCACTAAAAGATTCCCGTGGCGCGATGGAAAAACGTCGCTTCTGCACAACGAGCGCGTGAACCACCTCCCCGGGGAGTGCGAACCGCCGCCGCTCGATTGCGATTGAGGAATCGTCGTGATCTACGCAAATTGTTGTCACGCAGCGTCGAACCGGAGGTGTACCAATTTTGTAACACTGCAGTTTATTTGTTAAATATACCATGCTGTAAGTCTCTCTTTGTTTACACCGTCCCCTTGCGCGAATATAAATGGCGGGGGGGTCTTCGAACCGCTCGTATGCATGCGCGGCGGTTAGGCCGGGGGAGGGCCTGCGGCGGCGCGAGGCGGCGATCAATAGCGGAGCTGACGTCAGCGGTGCGCCGCGCGCCATTGGCCCGGCCGGCATTATTAAGTGAACCACCGGACAGGGTGTCGCGTAGGGCGTCGCGCCGCGGCCACAGCACCGCAGCACGCGGCGGGCCCGCGAACCGCTCGCGGCCGCCGCCGCACGCCATGGCCGACATGCCGGACCTGTCGCACCTTACGCCCGAGGAGCGCGCCATCATCGAGGGTGTGATGATGCGCCAGCGGCAGGAGGAGCAGCGCGAACACGAGATCATGAGGTGCGACCTCCCCCCCCCCCCCCTGTTCCTAGCCTTCCGTCTTTCATGTCGCCCCCTCGTCACGTTAAACGGCCCGCTCTCCTCGGACGTCGGATAAACGCTGGTACCATTTATTTTTAATGCAGGGCGTCTTATCTTTAGTGGTTATATCATCAGTTTTATCAGCTATAGGTTTGTACGTATCATAGAAAATGGTTACCTGGACTGACATTACGGCAATTCAACCAGATTTTTTTTAAATAAAAAGAAAACTGAATCGACATAGCCGTGGAATACATATTTTCGCATAAGCCTTGCAATTCCATAAAATTCTACTATGTAACTTGCGTGATGCACTGCCGATCACGCAACAGGGGCAGTGTCGCATCGCCGCATCGATATCAATGATAATGCTATAACTCAATTACCCAAGTTTTGTACTTCACCGACACTTTTGAATAGTTTTTGATAATTCTTCGTGAACGAACACATTGTAAAAAATGTGAATGCAATGTTATTTTAAATGGCTTTATGGACTTACAATAGACATATTCCTATTTCTTGTACCTACATAAATAATTTCTCATAAATTTATTAGTATTATTAGAGTTTGCTAATAATATTTAAATACATTATTTGATAAAGTTACTCTACATAATAAGTAAAATTTTTATACGACTAATTAGAATGAACTATGCTGTATCGTAAGTATATGCAAGCTGGTATTGGGTAGTTATACAGTAATATTTTTTTTATACTTTCTTCTTGCTGGGCTGCCTTGCGTGGGCGCTTTTATATTTTGACATTTAAAGGGCAAATCTGGAGACAAAGAACCAACAGCAAAGATGTCATAACCATAACCAGACTTTTAGTGTAATTACGTTGTCTTATACTAATGTTCTTTTGTTGAAAAGGACCAGGTTGGCGTTTAGCGGTGTAATGTTGTCATTGCAGAGTATAAGATATATATATACAGCATTTAATGGCATAGCCGTAACGATTGGATCATAGTAATTACTCGTCATCCACTCGGTTTTCGCTCATAAAGATGTCGGATGTGCTTCGCTCAAGGTTCTCTGATCATCGAAAATCCCGTGAATTTTTTAACAAACTGACTTTATTTTACTAAATTTTTAACTTGGTGAGCCGGGGAGCTCAATGCCTGGCCTTTTTGTTTACATCAAATCCTGGTGCCGTTAACTATGCAATCGTTAATTTTCAGTTCTGCCTTATTACGTGCTCGGCGGTGAAGGAAAACATCGTGAAAAAACCTGCATACTTTTGCTTAAAACAAATATTAATATTAAAAAAAACATAAATATTTCGAAGGCACATATGTGACATTTGCCAATCCGCAGTGGGGTCGCGTGGTGGACTATGTCCAATACCCTCTGTACAGAGGAGGCCTTTGCCCAGCAGCAGAACATGTAGGCTGTCACTTGAAATTTAGGCGGGGTTATGCATCATAAATTATATGATAATAATAAATTAAGAATAATTATAATAGATTTTAAAGTTTTTTATAGTGCTAATCTCTGCACTTCTCGGCGACATCTCTCGTTCGAATTATCGTTGTAAAACGATATTCAAAATTGTTTGTATGCTGGTAAGGATATAATAATGCGCCAAGCATTGCTTTAAATGCTAAATAACAATGTGAAAAGAAGGCGTTAAGATTTTCGTCGCTGTGGCTACCAGCCTTTTCTACATGTTTTAATTTTCGTACTTTTTCTACATGTTTTAATTATAATAGAACTTTTATTCGGATTAAGCATAAAACAATTTTATGCTCGCATAATAGGCAATGCCTGTCCCATGGAGTGATGTAACTATAATATATTTCTTTTTAGTCGTAGTCGTTTACCATCAACAACTATGCGACCACTTAGCAATAGGTGAAAATTTTGCGATCCACTTGCATTTCCGCTATAAAAAAGTTTACTAACATAATATATGCAAAATTAATATGTCAAACAAATAAGTGCGCAAGGCAATAAAACATTGTTTGGTTGGCCTCAAACGACAAAATAATACATAGGAGTTAATATAGGTTTATAATATTAATATTTGACGTCGGTAATTCCGTAGTTTGTGTCAATATAATATCACGGGTAAGCTTGGGCACGTCATCTAACTAGCCAACAGCATTGCTGCGGTGTCTGATTGATAATTTTCGGATTTTTCTAATATAGGTAATGACTATGAAAATTCAAAAATTCAAAAATTCCCAAAAAAACTGTTATTGTTTTAAATTTGGTTAATACAAATATGCTACCTCATGAAATCTAATAGATCTTTATAACAAAGTGGTTTGATCGAAACCAAACCATAAGCGAAGATTCGGTACCTTTCTAGTTTCGATCGAAACTCGAAACTTCGCGTTCACTAGTTAGTATTACTTCGTTGTGCTATAAAGTTTGCGAGAGCTTCTAGCTCGATAAAATTAAATTCTTTGTCAAGTGAAACTATTATTTATGGTTTAAACACATTGAATTTATTTTAAAAAGTTTCCTTAACTACTCTACACTTTCATATGGAATATAGTGTATGTGTAGGACATCCCGGACATGATACTACTATTTAACAAATATACATAAAAAAATGTGTTTAATATCAATTTATTATCATTGGGTCGAAACAAGACATATTCCTTCATCGATGACCATGAATACTTACAATATCACTTTGCTACTGTCAAAAAAACAAAATAAAATGTGTCGAATGAAGACGTTTTCGTGGCACCGAGCGAAGGCCAATTTCGCCAAGGCCGACGTTTTGGGCTATTGGAGGCTGAACGCTAAACTATAATTTTTGGGCACAACCAGCCGCAAAAAAAAAATTTTATAATAATATATCCCGTGATAACTGAAGGTCCGGGCGCTCGCTATTAGTTTAATATACTCGAGTCACAAGAATTGAGAGTTCAAACCCCAGTGCCGGCACCCATGAAATGGTAATTTTGAGTGCTGACTTGTCACGTCCTCAACGGTGAAGGTAAACATCGAGAGGAAACCTGCATATAGTAAAATACAAATCTATTCTAATTTAATAATCTAAATAAATGTTGATTTGAAAAACATTTGCACACAATAAGAAACGGATTTTCTTGCTTTACAATGTTCTTTACTAAATAAAAAAGTAAGTATTATCTCAAGATATATTTGATTTCACATAATAAAAACTGTTATAAACACCACTGACTGAAAACTACCATTTGTATACCATGTTAAATTATATCAAGAGATAAGGCCCTATTTAAGATAAAATTCCATTAAATCGCTCAATCGGATTTAAAGGAGCTACTCGTATATTTAAATAACCGTCAATATAGTAAATATTACATAACACTCTAGAACTTGGCTGATTGTCATTAATAAAATAAAGGGAGTTTGATTTATCTATCTTTCTCCCCGCGAACGGATGCGTATTGATTTTAATGATTTTCCAAAAAATAAGAAAAGTTACAAAAACGAATCTACGTTTAAGTATAGCACCAAATGTGCTTGAAGAAGTTTTACTTTTTACTTATGTTTTTGCTTTCAGCGCCTCGTCTATTAAAGCAGAACCCTAGAGCTTGATACACTTGAAGTTAGTATTCCTATAACTGTAGTTTGGATAAAAAATATGTAAATAGATCTAAATAAATTGTGTTTATTACTAGAATATAAAAATGTACTTAGAAAAACTATAACAACATGGAAATGAGGGAGAGAGAAAAACACTTAGGGTGTCAGCGATAATTTTCAAGATAGAAACTGTAGTATCGTTAATTGGAAGTTCGTGCTTAATTAGAATTGGGGGGGTATCTTTTTCAGATAAAAGATTGGACAAGTTGATAAGCAACACCTCGCTAGTTGCATATAGATGTACATGTATGTGTATACCGTATTCGTGCTTATATTGATTGTTTTGTGATTGAATGGATTGTTTTATGGATTGTTGGCATCACTAAAAGGCTGATTTATGAAGTCGATAGTGAATAAAAGCATTGGGACAAAACTTATATGCATGCCTCAATTAAAAATGATTTATATACTTATACAATTTTTTAAAGTGTGTTTTTAAATTATACGAAACGAAACATTTTCTTGTTCTGTAAATTTCAAACATAAGCACGGATATGGAACAAAAATACATTGTGTTTACAGAGCACAAAATTATTGCAAAAACAGTTTTTGCATTGACATGAACAAAGGAAACTTGTTAAAATATGCCTCAATTTGCGAACAAAAGAAATAAATTTACGTAGCATTTTCTACATGCCGCGGAATCTGACATAGACGCATACATTGCGGTCTTATTTCTTTCACTAAAAGCCATTGTCAATATTTGACAAAGAAGTAAAGGCTAACCAAAAGTGGTCTAATAATTGCTATTTCACTTGATAAGTATTATGTCTATCAGAATCACCTTTCGTCTTCTTAAAGCATTGCATGAAAACAACATAAAATAGGGTGCTATTGTTTCACGGGCGGTTAATCATAAAAAATGAAAACTATGATTCTGTTATTTAATGGAATTCTTAATTTTAAGTGCTGACTTACCACGTGCTGAACGATGAAGAAAAACATCGTGCGGAAACCTGCATATTTTCGAAATAGCTCACTAAATTATCGACGTAATGAACGTATAATATTATTTTAATGGAAGCTACTAGATACGTTACAATTGATAAATACAAGAAAAAACGCAAACGAAAATACGCAAAAAAATACGATACGAAAAAAAATATACGAATAGCAAAAAGAAAAAGAGGAAACTTCTTAAACTTAGGTTTAGAGTATGCGAGTAGATGTAGAGTATGTTGTGCACAATGTACAGATTGTGATACTATCTGTACAGTAGAGGCCTTTGCCCAGCAGTGGGATATGTATAGGCTTTTATTTTTTTTTACAACCTTGCATCGATAATAAAAATATTGTGCTCTTTGATGGCTCTATACGCAATAAATTTAATAAAAATCGCATGAAAAATTACTATTGTTTTTGATTTGTACAATGAACATGCGCATTTTTTTCGTACAGACGGAAACAAGATGAAGTTGCTGTCTTGGAGCAGACAATACGCACGAGGAACGAGATGCAAAGGGCGGCGGGTGTGGAGTTGGCAGCTACATGCCACATCTGCCTGAAGACCAAGTTTGCGGACGGCGTTGGCCATTCCTGCCACTACTGTCGTGTTAGATGCTGCGCCCGATGCGGTGGAAAAGTGACGCTACGTTCTAACAAGGTGGCTATTTTATTCTCAATCCTCAAACCACATATTATACCTCAATACTTTACTAATATTCATATAAAAATGAAAAATCTAAAAAGTATTTTTCTGGGTTTCTTCAACGGAATGTGTTTTACCCAAGTTTTATCCTTTGGGGTGCGGAACTCTAAAACCCTGTTTTTTTGCGACTATAAAATGGAATTTTACGTTCACAAAACGCCAATCTAGATTGGCTGTCATTCGATATGAAGATGTTTATAAATAGATAGATGATAAAACTTTCTCTAAAATCTGACTCTTCCAAGCTGTATTAAAATACATTGTTTCAGGTTATTTGGGTGTGCATATTGTGTCGTAAAAAACAAGAACTACTATCGAAAACCGGACAATGGATACACAAGAGTGCTGGCCAAGATTCGATGCTATGGCAGATGGAGTCGGACATGCGGAACCTGGCGCCGCCCGGGGACCCCTCACTGGACAAGCGGCCAAAGCTAGAGCGAGCTCACAGCGCGGCCGAAAAGGAGAACCACCCGCTACTGAGGTCAGGCAGTGCATTACGCCGCCAGTACAGCCAGCAAGAGGCGCACTGTTACGGGGAACTGGAAGGGTTAGCCCGTACGCATCCTCACCTCGTGCATCCAAGGCAAAAGGCCGCGTACGGCGTCGAGGACACCATCGCACCCCCGCCGGTGGCTCCCGCACAGCTGATGCCGCATCCACACTCGCATCCACCGCTACCTCCCCGCTCCTCGTCCTCGGACGACGAGGCCCCCGAGTGCGGCTCCGACGAGAACGACGAGTACCGTGACCGCGGTAAGTAAGCACGCCATCCAGCAGACCGACTCCTCCCCACACCGCGCTCCTACCCATCCAAGCTACTTTTGTTTGTGTCTACCCCCGTTACACAACAGTTGCACCACATAACTACACTGAACACTTATACTACAACGAAGTCATTGATGTATCGACCTATCGTCGCTGAATATTTTGACAACTCCCCCAAAATGTCTGTGTATGGTACGATAAAGTTAAGGTGTTCCGTGCGAGGTGATTCAGATTACGTTAGCGGTAGAACATTGTAGATGTTATAATACCCATACGAGTTTAATGACATTTAGTGAAATTCTTAGTGTAGAGCACGAAATATGACCCATAGGACTATTCTTAACAGAATACCACAATCATGACTATTGTGTACCTTTAACTACAAAGTTTCTATTGCAGTAATCTGTATATTGTTTTGATTTATTGAATTGATTTATTTCAGTTTTCACTTTTAGGGCGAGTTCGATTTGAGGCAAAGTGGCTGCTGAATATAAAATATTATGGAGATTTGAACAGTTGATCAGGATCTGATATGAGAGTGTATACCATGATAGATTAACGTTGTATCGTCATTGCGAACGTGTTGCGATTTGATGGTCGCCACGCGCCCGGTAGCCGGCCGATGCATTCTGTCATGTCCCAGTTTTCACAGGCATCCTACTGTTCGCAGGTAATAGAGATAGGAGCAGCTCCGCGAGCTCCAGGAACCAGCGACAAGCGATATTAGACGAGAAAATGAAAAAGTTCTTATCGGTGAGGGGGCGTGTTTTCGGGAACTATTTTACTTATACGTAAAAGTTTGCTACGTTTATATGTTACGATGTTCGTTACTGTTCATTGACGGTTTTCATTATCTACTTACTTCTTACTTGTGGACGTCAAAATCTTATCTGTCTTCGTCAAATTTCCTCTATCATTATTTTCATTACTAACCAGGCAGTATGTACACGGCCACGCTTACGTACGATTGATGTGTTTGTGTTTCATCCATTTTTCGAGGTTAAGATTTCACGTTTTCATTTTACATCAAACAATTTAGCACGTAATTGTACGTGTACCTCTGCCCGATTGTTGTTTGAACCAAAAGATTATGAATTTGTATAATTATCTTTCGTTACACGTTTTTGCTCATGAAAAAACAGCATTAATTACTTGGAATAAGAGTCTGGTTCAAGCAATTTCGCATGTCTGGGCGAAAAGAAATGTACAATTTAATTGGGAACATTTCAGAGTTACTAGTATATGTGAGCGTGTTCCTTTTTACTTTATATCGTTGTTGTTTTGCTGTATGACTTGAATCTGACACATCTTTCCGCTTGTGCGTGGTCACCGCTTTTAATTGCGATTAAAAGATGATTATGATTAGTTTTATTGGCATAACTGAAGTGAAAATGCGGTTCACACTGTCTCTGTACTCCCGCTGAAGGCGACTGTCTCCTTAGTTCGCTTGACTTCTCGCAAACGACTACTTTCATCTCATTCGAAGGAAGGGTTTGGTTGTGGACGCAGTGCAGATCAATCTATACACCTACGTGAACAATCTATCGAAACGGTTCCGGGCGCGTATTGGCGCTCAACTCGCTTGACGGCCGCGGATGACGAGGCTTGTTATGTTTCCGTTGCAATTGATGCGATGTCGTTCATAGGGCAAGTTGAGGCGTGCGCGTCATTGCGGCACCCGCAGCTGCGCGGCGCGAGCGTGGCCGCCAACAATTATTATAATTTGACTAATCATTCGTCGGCCGCCTACGCGCCGGAGGCCCGCGTTCTGTTCGATACGAGGGGCGGCCCGGGCGGCGGGCGCAGCTTCGACTCGGTCACCAACTGTCGCTGGCGCAACCGCGACGACGACAACTCCTACCTGCGGCCGTACGCGCCGGACGAGGGCCCGCGCCCCGACCGCGCCGTATATAAGAGCGCCTATCTGTGGGAGGACTCCTCCGATAACAGACGCTTCACCGAGAGGAGAAAAAAGACCGTTCGCTTTGACGGCCACGAGGGCGCGGCGACGTTCCCGCGCGGCGGTCGCGACTCCTCCGGCGCGCCGCACGACTGGCCCTGCCTGCGCTGGGAGTCCGAGCGACAGACCAGCCAGGACTCCGCCACCAAAGACTCGGGCATTGATACCTCTAGCACTTTCACATCAAGCGAGGACTCGAATAGAGGCGATTGCCCAAAGGTACATTGCATTCACACCATAAAGGTTTTATTCAGTTTAACAAGTTTAACGAGTAGAAAAAAATTACACGATCGACTGTTCGCAGCCTGGCTCCGTCAGTCCGTAATTGAAATCATATTCACCGAACATAAGGATTTTGTATATAGACATTAAGTGTTATTATATTGGATAGGTAAATGTTACTCATTGTTGTTTTCTATAGGCATTTCTGTTTGGCTGCGGCATGATTGCATTAACGGGCATGTGTCGGTACCTACTACTGAATGTGCGCATCGTGCACTTTTGTGTTTGTTGTACACCTCTAGAAAAATAAAAAAAAACATCTGACTGAATTTTGACGATGCTCAAGACCTTCTGAGTTTCATTCTAATGTGTAACGATTGTAACAGTTCCCGCTGAGTTGGCAAGTGTCTGTGGACGGTACACGAATGATCGGTCATATGGTCTTACGTAAGAGCATCGTGGAGGGAAACTCACAGTCCTCCGGCGCCATACTTGGCTTGAAGGTGACTGGTGGCATAATGCTGGCAGATGGTACACGAGGTGCGATAGTTGAGAAGATCAAGAAAGGGTCCATAGCTGATATTGAAGGACAACTCCGAGTCGGTAATTAGTAATTTGCCTGACCTAGCTTTCTCTTATTATTCTTAACGATTTATTCCATTTCAATATAAAGTAATAATTAATGTAAAGTAATAATTATCTACGTTTATATACTAAAACACTTATTTTTTTTTACTTACTTTAAATACTAAAACACACCTGTGCACGGATAAATATTAAATTTTTTTAATGTATAATGACAGTATGTAAGTCGAGCTTTCTGATCGTGGTTGGAAGTTGTATTGAAAGATTGTGAAAGAATGTCATTACATTGTTGAAACATGCGTACAAGCCGAGGATACCACTGTGTTAAGTAAATAGTAAGGCATCTAAATAAATATTGAGTTATTATTTTTGAAAGAAATTTGCTGTGAGAATAATAATACACGAGTTTATCCGGTTTAATTGTTAAAACAATAATATAAATACTCAACTTTATTTACTCACATACGAATGAAGCACCTATCCTTACTTTTGAAACTTCAAACGTTGTTAGAGACATTACATTGATTTTTTTTACACTATTTCATGTTTTTTAACTTTAATTAATCTCGTAGGAGATGAAGTTCTACAATGGAATGGAGTGCCCCTCCAAGGCCGAAGCGCGGACGAGGTGGCACTTGTTGTGGCGAATAGCAAACACGACTCTCATGTGGAACTGGTAGTTTCGCGCCCACTCGTTGCGGGGCGAACCCCACCACAAGCTTGGAGGACTCACAAAGGTTCTATTAATTTTAATATTAATATCGAAAAGCTACCAACATATATTATCCTCTATTCCCTTAAAGTTTAAATTGTAGTAAACAAGCCTATGAACACAAATGTCGACAAAAATTAGAAGTTCGGCCTGCTCTGTGACAGAGGTGTACACGGAGGTAATGGGCGGCTGTGAGAAGCCGAGCGTGCTGGTGACGTCACCAGGCTCCCCGGATCTGCACGCACGACGCCGATCTGGTCGCCACAACCAAAACGCTAATGTCGCCGGACGTATACAGGTAAAGCACTACGCTAAGGCCCGGGATATCCGACGCTGGCTTAAGCGTGCAACCTTCAAGGAGGCTAAAGAAGATCATAGTCACGCCTGGGTTAACGCCACATAAAAGATCGACTAGTGACCACAAGTCGTCTGTGTTGCAGATGCTCATGGATGGTAATCTTTTCACAGAAGCGAACTGTCTCCGTGTAACCCATTTCTGTACCTATCAATTTTCGTCAGGTGTTTCCCCGAGCAAAAATAAATTTTGAATAAATAATGGACAGCCCTTATCAATAAACAAATATATCCTTCACAGGTGAGCTTACAACGTTACGAGAACTTACAACATTACGAGCTTAGGGATTCTATTATGTAATCTCTACGCATACACTTAACAGTAGGCGGGCTTTCCTAAGTGTTACTTTACGCGGTGGTAAATCTTTATTTATGTCGGCATAATTTAATCACAGCAGAAAACTTAAACTGTACGAAATATAACGTAGAATCTGAACAAAACTACGTAAATTTACTCTGGTGGGCACACGGAGCTGTTCCTGCTGTTGCACGAAGTGGTAGGCATAGAAGATCAGCGTGAAGTGGAAAACTGTACTTACTTCTTAGTTTCGTCTGGCGAGTGAGGTAGACGGTGCCCACTTTGGGGCCGTCCATTAATTACGTGAGGCTCGAAAGGGGGGGAGGGGGTTGGGCAAAAATCACGAAATATCGCAATGAGGAAAGCGGAAGGCGGGTTTTGTAAGATATCACGTGTATTTTTTCGTCAAACGGACGGTTTTTAAATCGAAAAGCAGTGTGTATTTTGACCTTGACTCGCCGTTACATTTTATCATGCTCCTTAATTTCAGAATAAAATTAGATTATACTCTAAATCAATTTAAGCTATTAAAAATAATATTCTAAAAATTTTAAGATTCTTCGTAGGTACTAAAAATATACGTGATTTTGTTTGGGGGGGTAGTTTTAAACCTTACGTGATTAATGGACGGCCCCTTTTCTAGTATATGCTACGCATCTGCTATCTATCAAAAAAAAGTTTCGAATTTCTTTTTGAAGTGTGTGTTCTTTCCTAACAGTTGAAGGTGTATTTCGACATAACCGCGCTGCAACTGCTGGTGACGGTGGTGTCCGCCAGTGGTTTGTCACCGCGTGCCGACGGCTCCCCTCGGTGTCCTTATGCCAAGATATTCCTGCTCCCGGACAAAAGCGAGAAGAGCAAACGCCGGACGAAAACACTCGCGAACACGCTCGAGCCCCGCTGGAACCAGACCTTCGTGTATTGCGGCATCAGAGTAACGGACATCAAAAAGAGATCTTTGGAGGTAACACACACTGGAAAATTTATTTTCGAAAATCATGAATGAGATTGTGCTATCACCGGAACGTTTGTTTACGAGTAATGAGATTTGTTTTACTTTTCTACAGGTCACCGTGTGGGATCTCAATCGTTACGGACCCAACGATTTCCTGGGAGAAGTTCTCTTAGACCTGGACAGTGTTCTCATGAACCACGAACCTAGTTGGTATTTCCTGAAATCGCACGAGGAAACAGCTTTCATCGTAAGTTTCTACGTTATCTATTATTCCTTAGTTTTGAATGAAACATGTGATATGTCCTGTATATCTTTAATCAAATCCGTAATAGAACTCATTAATTCAATTTTTCACCTTTACGATTTGATCTCTCCACCAGTGCCCTTATAGCCAATAATTTAATAGTTTTATTTAGGTTTTGTTTGATGCCGATGAATAAAGTTACTTCGTTTTTAAGGATATTGTGATAGTGTGGCAAACTCTGAGATTTGGCCCCATATCGATATCTGTTGTTATCTCTGGTCTGGGGCACCCCAATACTAGGTCCTATTTAAAAGCATCCGACGGTTGCCAGTCTACCAACAGTCTTGAAATAAAAACAAACATTTAAAAAAAAATTGCCATTCTATTCCCAAAAAAATAGAACTTGTTGACAATGGTTAGTCATTCATAAATGCGTCGTATACTTTTGAAACGAACTTGTGTGCGTGTTAGTTATGAATGAACGTAAAATAAATGAGTTGCCCATAAATCACACACTTTTTGAGATAAGTTTGAATCATCATTTCAGCCTGTTTGAGTCCACTGCTGAACATAGGCCTCCCCCACAGACTGCCACGAAGTACGATCCTGAGCCACCTGCATCCATCGACTTCCCGCACATTTGCACAGGTCGTCACTGCATCTAGTGGGGGGTTATCAAGTTTGAATGAATGCAATTAATTAGTTACGAGGGATTTTAAATATTTATTATTTTTATAATTTATGTCTAGAATTTAATAAAAAAAGAAGTTATAAGTGGTATGTCTTGCTTTTGTCGCATGCAGCGATACCGCGAGGAGGATATCGAAGGGGAGCACTTGTCCCCACCATCGACTTCCACTTCGCGACTATCCGACTCAGACACGCCAAGCGAGTGTGACCTCCGGCGCCACCACTCTCTCTCCAGCCTCGCGTCTAGCTCTAGCCCGCCACCACCACTTGAGGTACTGTATCCTGCTAACAGCACACCTCGCAGTTTATTCCTCTACGTTTTATTAAGTTGATGAATAACGACGTGCGTTTCAGATGGATGGTACGCGTAGCAGCCGACGAGACATGTCACCAGCCGGACGAATGAGGACTACTGGCATGGCTAAGGATGGAGTAAGTTTATGCGATGATACTTTCTCAAAGTCTAACAAGAACTTTGTTTTTGAAACAGTTTATTATTTTAATATATGTCGGAGATAGGTGGATCACATGGGACAACTCGTTGTCAAATCTCTCATCGGACATGTTATACGCGCAAAATGAAAGTTATCACGTAGCACTGTTGTTTACTTGTTCGATTAAAATCAGCAATTAAGAAAATAACTATTTACCACCCCGATGTAATTAGATGGAAACGCAGCAAGTTGGATACAGGAAGATGACCGTTCGCATCGCCGTCCCTTTTCTAAGTTGCGTGCCCGAGCACGTCCAGAACACACCCCCGTGTCCGCTGTCAATTGACTTCCACAACTCATAACCGTCAAGTCCGCTCCCTCACTTCCTGTATCGACCTTACTCAAGCGCATTACTTGACGTTTCCGAGAGCTACCAATAGATGGTGTTGTAATCAAATTATAGCGCCACATCTTGATCCTACGACATATACAGCGTGTCGTTACCATCGCGACAATAAATGAACACACGTCTAACGCTACTTGCCAATAATCATAAAAAAATATTAATGTTAAACAAAATCCATAATTAAAAAAAATATTTTTCAAACAAACTAATTAAGTAAAAAAGAAACAAAATTTGTAACATCCTATACAACTCGCGCCACAGCGTCGCATTACAAGCCTCTCCTTCTAACAGTATGTTTTGTCTCTTTTAAATTCATTCATTCAACCCATTCATATGCTTTGTGACGTTTAGAAATGAACTTTACGTTACGCTTTTATAGGTAAGGGTGTTCTAAAATTCTTTGTTTTGGAAAATTTAATAACTCTGTAAATATCGATGTTTAAAGAATTTAAATGTTTAATACAACTTTAAAAAGTTATCCTTTATATGTGTGTTCATTTATTGTCGCGATGGTAACGACACGCTGTATAACAACGGTACCTATTCTAAACTAAGGAAAAATGAGCTAAGGGGCAACTTACGATTGTTTGCGATGATTTAAATAATAAACTGTTATCTCCTTTACTAACTTAATTTTTACCAATTTTTATCATTAAATTTACCAATGTCTAGATTACCGTATATTCTAATACTGGTTCCAAACGAAAACCTTTACCTTAATTGTAAACAAAATTTGAAATCACCGTCAATTTGAATTCATTAAGGGTATATTTACAACACATGCAGGTTTAGTGGTGAATGAACCAGTGATTCATAATTTCATAACCCCTAGACTAAGGCGACTGCCATTATTCCACCTAGACCACGCAAGAATGCACTTTGTTATGTGAGAAGGTGGCAAGGGCGTTGGCGGTTTGCCTGATTTTAAGTGATAACCACCGCCCATTGACATTTGCAACACCCGTAGGGATGCAGATGCGTTGCCACCTTTTAATAAAGTGGGTCCCGGCTACCCAACTCACCAGACAAACGCAGAAATATAATTCTTAGTAATAGCAGCGTTATAACACTTCCACTTCACGCCGGTCTTCTGCGAGATCTTTTTGTTCTACCACTTACTCTTAGGTAATACGGTTGCAAATCCTATTTCTAGCCCATGTGCAGCAATTTTTGTTAATGCCCCTATTATTTAACTTGATGATTGCCCTCAGTAATGCTTCCACAAAAGTATACATTAATATGTGTACAATGCACACCCAGAAAAAAAAATGCTTCATCAGTTACCCCCTATAAAGGTGGCAAGCAAGCTGGCAGTTCACTGATGTAGCATAACAGCCGCCTATCAATCTGCAATCCCCCATTAGAGTCGCAGATGACTTATCGCGTTTTAATAAATTGGGTACCGGTTACCTCACTCACGAGACGAAACGTACAAGTATAAACCTTCCGCTGCACTCCAGACTACTTTGTCCATTCAACAGCGAAGACTGCTACGTAGCCCTATCACAGTCACATTCAACGCCTCACATCGGTTAAGTTTAAGAGATCGCATACGGGAATGCATCATTTTCTAACAAATGTCTTCGTAATTTGAATGAATCAAGGCCGGATTGGAGATAGTTTCCTATAGGCTACGCTTTCGTCCAGGGCTACAGTGTGGCGCGCTCGCAGTCGGCGGCCGGCGCGCGCAGTAAGTCGCCGCGCCGCTCGCTCTCGCCGCCCAGCGACCGCGACGCCTCCTGGCGCTACACAGGTGCCGCGTCCGCCGACACACTGCCGGCAACCGCGACAGACGACGGCTTTTATACCACCGACCATCCTTCTCGAAGGCCAAAGAGGCTGAACGCTGCGCAGATTAAAAACTTTAGGATCGTCTCCTTATACCGACGCGTTACGTACGCAGCAACTGCAACTGCTCAAAGCACAACGTGAATGATATGTTGTGAACACTTGGCTGTCTTCTCTACAGTCAGGTATAAGGACTTAGCGAGGGGTTGTGGTCGCAAAATGCATGAGATCCGGTCCTCCTGTCGGAAGAACTCGAGCGGGCCCGACCCCGCACGGAACACTCGCGAACCGCACGGTTTCTCGCATCTGCCCATCACCACTTTACTGTCACTTACTATTTTGACTTCCTCTTGGTTTTTTATTTCACGCATCATCCGCTAACCTCGTCCTTCTTTACCTTATACGAGCACGCTCTTCACATTTATTGTACATAAGCAACTCGCGGTACGTTCGTGCCTGTCTGTTATACGCATGAATGTATCGCAACATTTTCTCACACGAGGCGCATGTCACTTCAAATCTATTCTAATCTCTCTTCATAGACAACGACATCATCGTTTCTTCGTTTTTCGTAAAGAAATTGGTTAGACTAACGTGTTTGAATAAGGTCTTGAGTATGGATTTAATCGATTGTATAGTTGCACGAGATAGCGAATGTGAAATTTCAGTGTCGGAAGACCGCGGTGGAGATGCATCTCGGTTGCCAACTCACGCGTACGCCCCGCGTTTCCAATCGCGATCCGCCACCGCCACGCCCACCACCAGCCCAAAGAAACGACAATTGCCACAGATACCACATCAGGTGAATAAATATACGTACAACACACGCAGTGAAAATAACAGTTAGGTTTAATGTTCTCCAGAACCTAAAGTACATATTAATTTTCTCTCATTAATCTCCATTTACATTAATTATGATCAGTTGATACTGTATAAAAATACTAGTAAATATCAGGTCAACTGTAATCGACGAAGTCATGTCCACATTTAATGTAACAATTGTTTTATACAATTGTTTTATATTTAAACGTTATGCTGGTTGTGCGAGTTTGAGATATAAGCCAATAAAAAATATATACGGTCGAATTGAGAAACCTCCTCCTGTTTGAAGTCTGTTAAAAAATTAAGTTATAATTAAATTAATTAAAACCGCGTGTCGTAGTAGACATTGGAATATCGCAGTTATAACAGTTTATGTATTTTTCGTTTCGAATCAAACTAAGAAATGGGTTAGGAAAATTCTTTTAGGGACGCTATAAGGGAAAGTAGATCGACCTTATTGACGACAATAAGTCAGTACCAACCTGCTTTCTTTTCAACCGACTTCAAAAACACAGGAGGTTCTCAATTCTACTGTATTTTTTTTTTGTTTGTTACCTAAGAACTTTCGATTGAGTGAACCGATTTTGATGATTCTTTTTTTATTTGAAAGCTGGTGCTTCCCATGCTTCCCTATAATCCCTATAATTTCATAGGTATTGGATCTTGGGCTCCGGAGATAAGAAGGGATCTCCAGAAAATCAATTATAAAATGAATACAGAGCGAGATATTTGAAGTCGATTTTGTTTTACTTTAATAAATAAATAACCATTCTTTTACTTGACAAATGATGAAAAATTGACTTGTACTGCCAGTGCTAACAGATGTGTGTGTTTTGCAGCAAAGCAACCAGAAGGCGGTGCGCGCGCAGGTGTCTGCGGACCTTGAGGAACGTAAGTGGATCGCCCCGCATCACATTGGCGCCACACTCACCTACCGAAGCACTCCGCAAGGTCAATACACCACTCTCACCCTAATACCGACTGACATTCGATTAACGACAAACCTATATCAATTAAGCATCTATATGGTATAAACGATTGCGTATTCGCGCCGTATGAGGCGATGTGTTTCCTCAGAGTTATGATGTTATTTTTATTTTTATTCAAGTAAGTTTCCCAAATCTCTGCCCATCAACAATCGTACTGGTTGTACTCATTCTATTTCATATCGGTAATGAGATACCCAATTTCATCATTATCTTCCATTAAAAAGGCTTACAAGAAACTCTTGAAAAAATTATGTTGATGTTAAAATAATTCATAAGCGACTTCTGTTCTGGAAAACAAGCTTTTTATCAAATTTAAATGTGTGTGAAAGTACCAATATCGTAAACGCACTACTGACACTGGCTAGTCTTCAAATGAACTGCTTACACGACTACACGACAATTTTTATAAAACGAATACAAGATATTTTTCATAACAATGCACTGTGTTACAAAAATGCATCATTACATAAACAGTCGTAGAAACTTGTACAGTTGCTTCCTAGAGAAATAACTTAGTGAATAGAATAGTAATCTGCTTTATAGATAAAATAACGATTGGATTACACAGCCGTGAATAAAGTAACATTACATAAAATAGATCTTACGCACAAATATTTTAAACTACTAAACGGATTTTGATGTGGTTTTAATTAATAGATAGAGTGATTCAATAGGAAGCTCGCAAACGTATTTTTTAATTATGTTTTAATTTGTATACGGATACGATATTTGTTCTTATATTATTAAAAAATAGTAATTGCCTTTCACATCACATAGTTTAATTTGATATCTTGTGAAATATCGTATAATTAAATCTATAAGGGAACATAAATTAGCGGCTCGCGCCGGCTTCTCCCAGGCGGCAGCTCCCCATTAGTATCTACATTGCACTTGAGCGAAGCCGGGGCAGGTCGTTAGTCATGTATTAAATGGAGCGATTGTGAGATATTAGCGCTTTAAAAGGATATGTACATACAAAACAAACTTTGATGATCAGTGCCGCAGTTGCCAAGGTATTGGCTTCGGCGCCGGAGGTCGTGGGTTTGATTTCTACACGTGTAGTCGAGTGTAAAGACAACAAGTTGCATGACTAACAGATATTTGTTCTTTTTTTATGTTAGAAGTGGCAAGCGAGCTGGAAGTTCACCTGATATTAAGTGATAACCGCCGCCCATAGGAGATTTGCAACGCCCTTAGGGTTGCATTTGCGTTGCCACTTTTTAATAAGGTGGGCCACGGCTATCTCACTCACGGACAAAACGCAGAAGTTTGACTCTTCCACTTCACGCCGGTCTTGAAAGGTCGTGGTACTTCCTACCTGGACGCACCTGTCCATTCGTGCAACAGCCAAAGCTGTTGCGTGGCCCCACCACAGTTTTGATCTTGAATCTGGGGTCTGTCCACGTGAGATACATATAATTATATAAAACGACCTTACAACACTAGATAGTTTTATCGTACAGTTTTTTTTGATGAAATGATTGTTATTTGTTGAAATGTTATTTGATGAAATGATATGTTGATTATGTAAAAAGTTGCCAAGCGAGCAGGCGGCTCACATGGTGTTAAGTGAATACCGCCGCCCATGGACATCTGCTACACCCGAGGGTTACAGATGTGTTGACAACATTTTAAAAATTGAGTAAGAGGGCGATGATAAAAAAAAAGAAAAAAAACGATAAATAAGGATTTGTTACGCCTGACCGGACTTTAGGATGGGAGAGGCATTATACGGGTCTATCGGACTCTGAGCTCGCGGCTCGCGGCGGGGGTGGATGGGCCCCCAGACGGCGCCTGTCACCAGACGCCGCCGCCGGAGACTCGGACCTGGAGTCTGTGGCCTCGGTCACTTCCAGCGCCTTTAGCACGCAGTCCGAGCGCCCACGGCCCACCCGCATGATGAGGTATCCGAATTTATAGCGATTACCACCCCAGTATTTATCCGAGTACTTAATATTTTGACGAACAGCGCGAAGTGAGCAACAAAAATGATATGGAAAAATTAAATGTAACGAAATCTTCAGTTTTCACTTTCAAGTTGGCTATATTTATGTAGAGCTCATCTAAATTAATATGGTTTTTCATTTTGAAATTATCTTTTGTTTGTTATACTTATTGTTGTATCAATCAAATAGTTACATTTCGTGCATACAATTTTGCAGCCGGAAACGGGCCCTCCCGCTCCGTAGCACTTCGACTTACGAATGCGCCGATGTGCCTCGTAGTCATTACAGCAATCAAAACTTTGACCGTGTAGTGCCGTACACTTGCATGACTGTTGGTAAAGGGGAGTATGCGTTGCGACGTCGTCTGCGGGCGCGGCCCGATTACCATACATCGACCTACCACACCCACGCACACCCTAGCCGCCGTCTCCGTCGCATATTAGCTCGAAGCCACACTATAGCTCACCCCACAAGGGAATATTCCCAGCGAAATCCTTTCGAACGAAGCTCCAGCTGCCCCGAACAAACCGAATTCCCGTATCTCCATAAAACTCCCAATCACAGAAAAAGCTACGAATTCCCACCAACTGTCGACATTCACCGAAAACCGATTTTATATGCAGACGGAGAGTGCAATCTGTCTAAGCCACATGTTCGATTTGAACAACCCTTAAAACTCGAAAATACAGACCGATATACATTAAATACTCCAACAGCTCTTCTTTATGATTACAGTATTGAAGATATTGAAAATTTATATGATTATAACTATTTCGATCAAAATCGATTACTTGCTCTAGAAAATACTACCAAAAAACATAGAGGTTTATGTAAATCCCCGTCTTTGGACGCAAACATGGATACTTATGGCATGGGGTTTACTGATGTATTAAATTCATATTTAGATAGGACAATATACGACGACGCATCTTCAAAATACTATGGCTACGACAGCGACGGTAGTATAGCGGAAACGACAATTCATGTCAGTATTGATAAACAAAACAAATTCGATATTAAACCTTGCGATATAAACGACACGGTAAATGTAAAGCCTGAAGACTTTTATATGAATGATTGTTATGACGATTTAGGCCAAAGTAGTAGGAAAAAATATATGTCGCTAAATCTTAAGTCAAATTATTTTAACACTACATACGATAGTTTAGTAGAGCCACAGAATTTAATGATAGGTGATAATAAACAAAATTGGATCGCAACTCCTGTACCACCCGAAACTCGGCTTGAATGTAAAAAATACTTTAATTCCAAGAAAAGGGACCATAGAAGACGTCATACAATATCTTATTGTAGTTATTCCGTAACACCAGATGAACTCTGTGAAGGTTTAAAAAAAGTGTCCGCTCCTTCCATATTCAAACATGTAGATGACAGAAAATATTTTGAGAGCGATCATAGAAGGGATTCAACCAAACTTCCACTCCTAAGGGAATACCCCATACCAACCTCCCCCACCTCTCCGTCCTGCAGGTATCTATCGGCACAAAATCCATTGTCATCGATTAAATTAGGTGCTCGTTCCCAATCTTTAGCTGCTGCCGACCATTTGAATCAGGATTTCAGTAAGATGGCTAACTCTATGTCTGTTGCTCTTTCCACTCCGAAATTCGACTCACCCCGCCGCGCGCACACACCTGCCGCCTCGCACTTGTCGAACGACGACATTCACCACAACGTCCATGATGCGTCGACGGGTCCGTCTGTCGTGGACAAAACTGACGCCATCCCACGAACTCGACCGCGGCACAATGGAAATGACAATGAAAACGCGAACGAAAATCGACGGGCGAATGATCAACCATGTGAAATACCAAACACGAAAAACAATAGCAACGATTACGGAGGGCGCGAGAACGAACGTAATCACAACCAACAACAACCCTTGGAACGTCAAGAATCACGTCGGGGACAGTTCACCAGGAGCCTTAGTAACACTGATGCACCTGATGAAAAAGCAGGTACACAAACATTTAAGACATTTTAACGTAATTATCGTTTAAGTAGTGCTGTTAGTTAATGTTGCAACTTATGTAGTCTAATAAAACATTAATATTTTTTTAAAGATGGTAGTCTTAGCGACACCGCAATAGGAGGGGATAAAGAGACAGAACCTGCCAGCGACGAAGCGTTATTAAAAGCCGAACCCAGGGATTACTTCGGACCTGGTATGGGAAAGAAGAGTAATTCCACATCACAATTATCTGCTACAGGTAAATTTCATCATGGTCACTTTAAATGAATTTTATATTAATGAAATAACTCTTTCACGTTCACAGATGACTTCCAAAGGCAATAAGGCTTCTTGTTTTTGTAATTAACGAATACATTTGTATAATGAAATCGACAGGACGAAAGCGAAGGTTAGGTTTTGGTAAACGGGGGAAAAATTCGTTTACTGTGCAACGGAGCGAAGAGGTGGTTCCCGGTGATTTAAGAAGTGGGGTGTCTCGGGCCTCTTCTGCATCCAGCGAAAACGATGATGACAGGTTCGCAGCGTTCACGCTAGCGACATTGAGACAATAGTGCGAAACCGGGTGGCGGTAGATCTGATCTCGATTACCATGCAAAACCTCGGCGGCTAGTTGGACTTGGATTATGCATATATAATTAGCCTTGCTATGTATTGTCGGAACTCAAATGTTTTATTAATTGTTTTATACAGCATGCGAAAATGTCCACAATAAACTTAGAAATTATATGTGCGATGTTGCTTATGTAAAGTCAGCTACTGTAGAGCTTGAATTTGCCAACTTATTCGACGAAAGCACCATAACAATGGTTTTAGATTGTAAAGTAAAAATAAAAAAGTTTGTAGCTCATGTATTCATAGCTCATCTTTATGATTAGGGTAAATATTGACGACTAATTTGAAATACGTTATAGGTTAATTGTGTTCACAAAAAGATAAAATAAATCGAAGCGTCTTTCAAAATTAAAATCTTCAATGTATGATTAACAACTTTCCTAATTGCCTGATCGGATACATTCGGGAGGAGCATTGGCAAATTTACTATTATCGCGATTATTCTAAAGCCCTTTCACAAAGCGGACTTTAAAATACGAAACTGCCTAGTGGACAGTCGTATTTTGCGGAATTTTATAGTACCGTCAATATTAACGCTGACATGACCAACTTTGTCACCATGCTGCCGCCAAAGTAAGTGCATAATTGAGCTTGAACCGTCACGATCGATCGCCCAGATCAAAACCGAGACTCAGAGTTATAATTCGGACTGTTGAATGTACGACGGTTGTTGAATGTGCCTTGGCGCGCTGCGGTGTAGAGGGCGCGGGCGGCGCGCGCCGCAAACGCTCCGGGCCGGCGACCACCTCCTTCCAGCGCTCGCACGAGGTGTGCTCCACCAGCCTCGTCTCCATATCTAGCTCAGAAGGATCCTCGTAAGTCGCTCGGCCGCACCGCTGCTTACCGCAGACCGCTACGAGCCTAACCACTCAGTTCTGTGTGCATCGATGTTGCTCGCGTCTTCTTGACTATCCTCTACGTGTGCCTCTCGTCTTGTGAACGCATGGCGCCGTTTTGTACTGTGTTTCTTACCTCACTGTCTATCCTTTATATCATGCACAAGTCTCCTAAAGCATAGGCACTTCTTCGAATAGGTGAAATTATTTGAGGGTGAAATCGAAGAATTGTTTTGTGAAGAAGCTGTTTTGTTTACAGCACCATTTTTTTCTACAGCAACGGACAGCAGAAACTTCTACATCTATAACATGACGCTTTAATTTACGTGTTGTCTGAAAGCCTATACTTGTACAATCAGTAACTCACTATCATACTGCATGCTATCACTGCTGTTTTAATATTATTTACATATAAATCGCTTATAAACCACACCTTTAAACATAAAAGAAAGATTAATATAAAAGTTATTTGTATATATTATGTTTTATTGTATATTAAAAATTTATAATAACATACCTGTAAATTTTAAGGTTGATCCTTAAATTGGAAATTCCAATAAGGACAAGTTTTCATATTATTATTTTACTTTTGTCGTAAATATGACGTTGTTTATAGATATGTATATATAATGCAAAAACTGTTCTGTAAATTATTTTATTATTATATTTATACAAACAATTATTATATTATTCCCTGACATATGCCTAAATTAATGATTCATCCAGTCTGCCGCCCTCTTCTCACTATTGTATCAATGTCGTTTTGGTGTAAATTTTATATCTTGTTTATCACTTGATAAAAGTATTTGTGATCGTAGAACCCACATTACATTTCATAATTATTAAATTGTACGTTTTCGTAATGTATTTCCCTATAAAATAATTAATAACGGTTAATAAACTAGTACCTAACTGTATAGTAACTGTACGTAATTTAACGTCGAACAAATATTTCCAATACTTATTTTTGAATTTTGTTATTGATAATAATCACTCCTTTTGAAATAGACATAAAACTTTCCCAACAGAGTAGTCAATTGATAAAAAAAAGTCTTAGGACTTAAATTATTTAAAGTTCCTTCTTCTTCTTTGATTAATGATTTAAAGTTCCTAATTTTAAACATTTTATAATTCTCAGTGACAAAAATATTCTGTCACTGTTATTTAATGTACTATTACTTTTTATTTATTTATTGTGCTAATCTCTGCACTTAAAATGAAACATCATAAAAATATGAACTATACTGTCATTGGTACTTGCAATTACAGCCTTCTTGCAATTTAAGTTCAAAACGCAATTTTAAAATACACACTTTTTTTAATTCATATTATAAAATAATTGTTACATAAATACGCATTCTTAATCAATACATTACCTTTACTTTTTCACTGGTTTAAAATCTTTTTACATTAATTTAAACTATTTTAATTACATCTGGATATGTCAGATGGTCTCCCGGGATGCGCGGTTCGGGCTCAGACGGAGGCGGTTTGTCAGATTTCATCGATGGACTAGGACCTGGTCAACTTGTTGGGAGGCAACTTCTAGGAGCCCCAACCCTCGGCGATGTGCAACTCTCCATGTGCTATCAAAAAGGCTTTTTAGAGGTAACCCAAAGAAAAAAGACAACAACGAGTGAAATGAAAAGTTTGTTTTATTTGTTGTTACTATTCGCTACTACACACATCCTTTAAAACTTCCACGCTGGGCAGAATTTTTTGCCATGATTTTCTAATTTTATTGTTAACATCTATGCCTAGAACAACAAGAAAGGTCTAAATTACCATATACTGTTTTATTTCTTAACGTTTTTTTAATTTGTACTTTTAATTTGAAATGAAAAATTATTATTTTAAAATGACCTGAAAAACTTGCATAAGGATTACAGGATCGTTTTCAGTTTTTGAAACATTGCAATTGACTTTAGGTCGAGGTGATTCGCGCCCGGGGTCTACAGGCGCGGCAAGGGAGCCGCACACTGCCAGCGCCTTACGTTAAAGTTTACCTCGTCAGTGGGAAACGGTGCATTGCGAAGGCCAAAACTAGCACGGCGCGGCGCACGCTCGATCCGCTTTACCAGCAAACTCTTACTTTCAGAGAAAACTTTAAGGGGTGCATTCTTCAAGTGAGTGTCAAAGCAAAACGCCAAATTATTGTTTTTTCCTCGTGTAAAATATAAATTGCGACGACAAATATCATGGGAATCAATACTTAAATTAGATTGCGGATACTATTTGTAACATAAGTATGTTACATACAATAAAAAAGTAATGCAATTTTTCTAAGAACATAAAAATTTGGGCCCAGTTAAATTATTGTTTTCGTTTAGGTTACAGTGTGGGGGGATTATGGTCGAATTGAGGGAAAAAAGGTGTTTATGGGGGTGGCGCAGATTATGTTAGATGACCTCAATCTTTCCAACATTGTCATTGGCTGGTACAAGCTGTTTGGAACCACTTCTTTGGTAATTAATATATACATACTATGTAAATTTGAATTTGATGTATGTTAATAAAACATTAAATTCTTTTGTTTCAGTAACTATCGGTACAACGGTACGGCTGCCTCGGTCGGTGGACCCATGTATATCAAAAAAAAAAATTAAATTTGTCCATATACTAATTTTAGTGATACTGCTTTAATATATCATAATAAAATGCGAAATATCTTAAACATAGGACATTTTCTATAAAACGAAACTTATAAAGATCAGAACAGAAGAGACATGTATATTGATTTCATTTATTTTTGGGACGCCTACCGAAGTTTCGCATAGATAGCATTTTATATAGCAAAGAAACAATGTGTATAGTATTATCAATAACGATGTATAATTAAGTATTAAAAGCCAAATTCAAAGCGTGTTTTTTTGCTCAATTGCGATTGCATTTTTTAAATAACCTATATACATATAGCACTGTCAAGGGGCTATGGAAATTCTGAGAAAAACGCTAAATGCAGTTTGAATTGAAAATCGCTGAAACGTCGGGGAAGTGACTATAATTCACTTGCAATAAACAAAGATATACAAACTTTTGCAAACAAAAAAACGTACAAATTCAATGACTAAGCGCTGTTCCTTGAAACTGAATTATTTTGTACGTTAATTACAAATTAAGAACTTTTCATTTACAATGCAAAGTTGTTATTTGCTTACAAAATAGTAATTCTAGGCCAAGGGGAAAATCTTAGTTTTTGATGATATAATGATGAATAGGAAGTACTTCTGCACACTGAGATGTGAATTAGCGTTTAAATATAATTAAATATATGTTTTAACTTCTTGTATGTAATAAGACGGCGCTATTCTACATTATCTGTGTACCAAAAGAAATATCAGGACGCTATAAAAAAACGACTCAGGTACTAAAAATCGAGCTTCGTGCTCACATTAAATGGTAGTCCAATTTAGAATACCTAAATGGCCTGTCCTCTGTCTGTCTGATTTGTCCTCTTTAAAGTAAAGAGGAGTGAACTGACATACGAATACACAGCGCACAAAACAGTGATAAGATTTCCGCATAAAAAGTATGGAATCATAAAAAAACACAAACCTTGCAAAACATTTTTTATTTTATGTATGTTATTTTACATAATAGTAGATAAAAATATTGCATATTTAATCTAATCATTTCATACTTACACATCATACAGTCAGTCAATCATTACACAATCATATTGGGAATATGTACTTGTAAAATCTTTGAGTTTCAACAATGTCATCATCAAAGGAAAGGTTTGAAAAATCTTTCTTCTGTAACATAATGTACAATTAAAATGTATCGATTCGCAAAGGCAACATTGCTCATAACGTCCGTAAAACTAGCTTACATTTAATGAAAGTCACCACTTTTAAACTACTGTAGTTAACACTTAATGCAATAATTGCTTCGGTTGCTTGGAGGGGGAGGCGCCAGGTAATCGACCCTCGCCTGCTCTCTTAACACCCGTGGATTTGATGTCTGGAAATAAAACATAAAATCCATTACGAACGCGCGTACACGGAAGAGGTATTCTAGGGGAGGTCAAAAATTAAATAGGGGGTAAAATTAAATATCAAATTATTAAAAAATGCATACTACGAAGATTTTCCCGAGTTAAATCCATGATAGTGTAGAGACGCAATTTTTGAAATGGCGCCACAATGTAAAACAATTGACAGCCAGATGAAAAAAAACTGCATTCTACAGCCAAAGATTTCCAATTCCAAATGTTGTAATTACTTTTAAATATTGTTTATGTAAGTGGCCAGTTCCGGAAACTTAAGTGTGAATAGGTCACACCTTGTACCTTTACTTTACTGAGCACAAATTACGAGTATAGTGATCTAAGATTGAAGAAATAATCTCGAAGGACCATGATGAGTGGCCTATTTGATAAATATTTTTGGAAAAGTTTTGCAGTTTCTTAAACTAAAACGAGTGTAATGAAACGAAAAAGGTTTATGACGCATTTACTTTATTAGAAAATTATTATGAAAAGTACAAAATTGTGTAATGTTGATGTGTTGTGATAAAACTTTTAGTTTATGAGTTTGGTTTATCAATGTGTTAATAAACTTTTTCGTTACACAAACATATTCAAAAGCAAAATAAGAAAGAAGTACTCTTTTGGCACGTTTGGGAATAATGTCGAAAGCAATTTTTTAGAATGCGCGACACTTATAAGCAACACTATAAAGTTGGTTGAGAAAGCGAATATTTTATTAGTAATTTTTGTTCTGTACGAAGTACAGACAAGTTTTTGCATAGCCGTGAAATATATGCGGGGGGTGTTTCATCACCACTATGGAAATTGCAGTCGTTACGGCTAGTTAGCTTAGTTTCATCAAGGTAAGGAAGGGGTGACATGAGTTTTTTTTCCCATCAGCGGTCCAAACCTTGCCGCCGTTAAGGCTCACGAGGAGGAACGGTGTTGTCATCGGCCTTGCAGCCATTACGTTTCACTAGCGAGGCTTGGTTTCGTCGAGGAAGGAACAACCCACCGCCTCCCATGGCCCCACCAACCTCGCAGTTGTATGGGCCAAGTCGAGGGAGGAACAGTTGGAAGGGAGGCGTTATTGTCCTCGGTACGCACCTTGCAGCGCTTACGTTTCACTAGTGAGGCTTGGTTTCGTCGAGGAAGGAACAACCCACCGCCTCCCATGGCCCCACCAACCTCGCAGTTGTATGGGCCAAGTCGAGGAAGGAACAGTGGGTAGGGAGGGACAGTGGGTAGGGAGGAACAGTGGGTAGGGAGGAACAGTGGGTAGGGAGGAACAGTGGGTAGGGAGGAACAGTGGATAGGGAGGAACAGTGGGTAGGGAGGAATAGTGGGTAGGAAGGACAAGTGGGCAGGGAGGAACAGTCGGGACGGAGGCGTTATCGTCGGCGGTACGCACCTTGAAGCCACCTGACCTGGGTGGCGGGCCCGTAGCCCTTCTCGTTGCGCGCCGCGATGCGGAAGATGATTGCGGGCTTCGTGGAGGAGTCCACGTGCGCGGAGCCCAGCGAGGCGGCCGGCACCACGCACGTGTTCGCCTTGCCGCAGTACACGCGCACGAACGCCAGCTGCGACTTGGGCGCCTCCTAAGGACACGCACGGACTCTACACTGCCGTAGCCCGCGGGCGATTATCAGTCCCCGCGGGAAACGTGCCTTTGAAAATTCTACCGGCTCGGACAATATTTCTTTTTGTGTAGGAAAGTGGCAAACTAGCTGGCGGTTAACCTAATGTTAAGTGATAACCGACGCCCATGGACATTTTCAACACCCGTAGGGTTGCAAATGTGTTGCCACCTTTAAATAAAGTGGGTCCCAGCTACCTCACTTACCAGATGAAACACGAAAGTGTAACATTTCTACTTTACGCCTGTCTTCTGTGAGGTCGTGGTACTTACCCTGACGGACTTGCCCATTCGTGCAACAGTGTTGCGTGGCCCTACCACCGTAATATGACGATCATACGCGGTAACGTCATCTTATCTATCTGTCTAATAACTTTAAACGAGCAATTCTTATATGTATATGTAATCTGAATCTCTGAAAATGCTCCAACGATTTTCATGAAATTTAGTGTCCAGGGGATTTCGGGGGTGACAATGAATAATATCATTAGAATACTAAGGTGAATTTCGCCACCATCTACAAGGTTATAAGAGCACAGGTGGCGCCTGATGTTAAGCCTTGAGGATACGGACCTTTTAATAAAGTGGGCCTCGGCCATACGGAACGCCTACGTTTCGTCTGGCGAGTGAGGTATAACACTTCGAATTTACGTCGGTCTTCTATGAAATTTTGTCTCTTCCCCGGACGGACCTGCCCATTTCGGACACAGCGACTGTTGCGTGGCCCCTTTTATATAACCAGCGCGCAATTTAACCTTCGGCTGGGTGTCCGAGCGCACATCGTAGTTTGTCGCGTGGTCCCCTTTATATAATCAGAGCGCAATGTAACCTTCGGCTGGGTGTCCGAGCGCACATCGTAGTTTGTCGCGTGGTCCCCTTTATATAATCAGAGCGCAATGTAACCTTCGGCTGGGTGTCCGATCGTAGTTTGTCGCGTGGCACTTTATATAATCAGAGCGTATGTAACCTTCGGCTGGGTGTCCGAGCGCACATCGTAGTTTGTCGCGTGGTCCCCTTTATATAATCAGAGCGCAATGTAACCTTCGGCTGGGTGTCCGAGCGCACATCGTAGTTTGTCGCGTGGTCCCCTTTATATAATCAGAGCGCAATGTAACCTTCGGCTGGGTGTCCGAGCGCACATCGTAGTTTGTCGCGTGGTCCCCTTTATATAATCAGAGCGCAATGTAACCTTCGGCTGGGTGTCCGAGCGCACATCGTAGTTCGACGCGTGGCCCCTTTTATACAAGAAACGCGCAATGAAACCTTCGGCTGGCTGTTCGAGCGCACGGCGAGGTAGACGGAGTACTCGAAGATGCCCTCGGCGGCGACCTGCGGCGGCTCCCACGAGAGGTGGGCGCCCTCCACCGACTTGGAGATCTTGATGGCCGACGGCGCGCCCGGGAAGCCCGGCAGGCACGTCTTGAACGCCGACTCCTGCGATGCAATTTAGCCTTTATTGCCAATGGTGCACGGATCATTTTTGTGGGTCCAATGCAATTTAGTAGTAGGTTAGTTACAACGACAGACGGCTTATTGTTTTGTGCATACGATGCGACTAGTCTTTATTCCTAATGGATCACGGGTAATTTTTGCGCCTACAATGCAATTTAGTATCTAACGACAACGGATCTCGGATCATGTTTATACCTATAATGCGATTTAATAGTAGTTTAATGCAGTTTCGATTTAGATTTTGATCTCGAAGTATATACATGTTTAAATTTCTAGCGTAATGCTAGCACATATCTATAAACGAAACTACCCTAATGGACAACGCTGAATCACGATTATTTGTTGAGAACCTATTGGCTTGATTGAAAGAATAAGTTAGCTTGTTCCAATTTAAAATGACAATTCGGAATTTGAAATTAATTGAAATACTAATTGCACGAAATTAAGATTATTGTACTATTAATACAAATTAATCTATCCCTAATGTCCTAAACACTTTATCGTAGGATTTGTTAATGAAACTCACTTCACTGAATTCGCCTCGTCCGCAGGAATTAACAGCAGCAATCCTAAACTTGTAAGCGGTGCCGTGTTCTAACGGTGTCATTGGTAGCCCACTGAGATCCGGCAGATTATCTAACGACAGATTGGAGAGATCCACATTTGGATCGGATATATAATTTTGTACCTGCAATTAATGAGAGAAAACAAAGTATTGTCAGGTGTTTTGTTTATAAAAGACTAAAAAAACATACTACTAACCGTAAATGTCGTGCCTTTTACAATGCCGACTGTATACCACGCATCCTCGTCGTTCTGAATTTTCTGCTCCTCTGGTTCGGCCTGAAAAAAATAAGTGTCCGAGAAAAAGTTTTATTACATATATAAAATATATTATTATTTTATACCTATATTAAATGAAGCACAAATATATCAGAAATCAGTGATTCACTATTTATTACATATTTATTGAAGATTTCCTCTCCGATATGCACGTAAAGTGAGATCCTATACATATGTCCCAATACTGGGCAAAGAAAAAGGTCCTATGAGGTGGAAAGGTCCTATGCCTTAATAATCTCTGTACAGAGGGTACAGAGATTATTAAGGCATAGGACCTTTTGTCGATTCAAAGGTAAGGCACTGAGGATAACTGCTCTATTTTTAAGATAGCTACCAACGATGCAACCGCTAAACGCCGATAAATTTTTCTATCCCGGCCATGGATACCGGATCCCGCTCTTAAGCAATACTTAGCTTACATTGCGTCTTTGCTATCTTCTCTCATACCCCAATTTAATTTTTGTACTATTCATCATAATGAAATCAAGAAGTTTGCATCAGCTATTAAGTCCAAGGCTTATGGGCTGTGATGACATCAGCAAGTTTATAATAATCTCACTATTAGAATTTTGCAAATGCATGTAATACTCGACTAATCAGTCGACCACGATATTCTTTCATGGAAGATTCTCCATTCCATGCTCTCCAATATAAATTTTGCAGTCTCTATTGTAGAGTGGTTTTCATGGTCGTTTCTTGGACGTCAGCAGTCAGTTACCTTAAAAAGCTCAGCTTAGGCTAATATCGAATCTGGCGTTCCACAAAGCGGTATACTATCTCCCATAATTATTTAGTCAAGCACACTATGGAATAGGCACCTCATATATCATTTCATTATGTTGGTAATGAAATGAATTTACTAAGGCATTAAACTGCTATATGGATAATATTTTACATCCAAATATTGGTTATGTCAGTCAGTCAGATAAATATGAGTACAGTGCCGGTCCGTCAGCCCCAATATATGAACAATAAATAAATAAATAACATGCAATTTATTTATTAAATTTTTAATTTTTTATAGATGCTCTGAATTGTACATTTATCATAAATAAAATAGCCCGCCAGCCATACCACGCAATAACACAAGTCAATCAGACAAAAAAGTCTAAGCTCTTATAATAGTATATTCAATAGAAAAGAAATAAAATTCATGACTGATACTGACTTAACAGTGAATTCTTACAGCAAGCAAGTAGGGACCATGAGCTCGTCCTTTCCTATTTAAGGTAGAAATTTAGAGACTGAAACTGGTAGATTATCAGGTTTAGTAAATTAGGGCAGAGCTTTTATGCTATGCCCGTCCACTATGACTGCTTGTTTATCATGTGTTAGGGCAACTCGACAGTCTTCGCAGTTGCACGAACGGGCAGGTCCAACCGGAGAAGCACCTTGACCTCACAGAAGTCTTATACTTCCGCGCTTCGTCTGATGAGAGAAGTAACTGGAGCCCACTGTATCAAAAGGCAGCATAGCATCTGCAACCCTGCGTGCGTTGCAAATGTCCACGAGCAGCGGTTGTCGCTGACCATCGTCCTTCTCGGGCTCAATCCCCAAGTCGGGCGTGCGTAAAGAGGTTTTAGTTCTTCCAAAGGAGTTCTGTTCGGCGCGCACCTGGTCGTGGTGGTGGTGCAGCGCGGCGGAGGCGAGCGTGGCGAGCGCGTGCGCGGCGTCCGTGGGGGGCAGCGGCGGCGCCGTCGAGCCGGCCACCGAGCTGCTCACCGCGCCCTCGCCCTCCGCGCCCGCCGCCCCGCCCCCGCCCGCGACCGCGCCCTCGCCCGCCTCGCCCGCCACCGACGAGGACACCCCCGCGCCGCCCTCGTCCCCTGCAACGCCGCGCCGGGCTCAAGTATTACGCCACTCCGTATTTCGAACCGGGAACGATACGGTTGCGGGTTGGGCCGGTTGTCTTTCGCCGTGGTTGGGCCACGCAACGGTGTTCGCTGTTGCACGAACGGGGCAGTGAAGTGGAAGTGGAAGTGTACACTTCTGCGATTCATACGGTAAGTGGCCCACTTTAGGAAAAGGCGACAACGCAACTGCAACACTACGGGTGTCGCAAATGTCATGAAAAAAATGTCACCAGAGTTCGCCCAATGTGTGTCACAGCGGAGTGCGGTCCACGTATCTATCATTGGTAATTAAGTTAGTTACAATCTGTATAAGATGACATTGTACAATTAAGCACATGTTTGATATAACGATTTGCTGAAGAATAACGTTCGGCAAGTAATGAAATATAAATAGGAGAAACATTTCCGTCTTATATACCTTGTAATAGATTGGGCGAAAGCAGTGCAGCCCCGTTAGCTGTCAGCGTGAGGAGGGGCATGGACTCGCTAACCGTCGGCATCGTATCAGCGGCGCCCTCCATTTCCGATGTATCAGCGTCGCTAAATCTAAGAAACAGCGAAATACTGTGAACAAAGTTATTAAACAAATATTTTTCTAAGTTGAGAAGGTGGCCCTACATACATTACTTCTCACAAATTTTCTCACAAATCACAAAAAGCTAAGACCTCGAAATCACATCAATTGAAGAATGTTCCAATGTCCAGCGTGTTGTATAATGTAAAATGCAGACTTTTATTAAATTTCTACTTTTTTCTTCACAAAACGTTATTTTTTATATTAATTAGGGCAGTCAGACAACACAAGCACAAAGCAAGATACATTTCTATATGCCTAGATCCTCAATGAATTGTTTAAAAACATACAGGGAGATTTTTTAAGAAGTGCCCAAATTTACACAGGAGGTTCAGACTCGGTAGTATAATCGTTTATTGAAATAAAAACAAAGTATTTTTTTCAAAAAAAAAAATACTATTCTATTCCCTAAAAAACAGAACGTGTTGGCAATGCGGTAGTCATTCATAAATACCTAAATTTTACTGTGCACGAACTTGTGTGCTCGTTAGTTATGAATGATCGCGCGTAAAATAAATGAGTTGCGTATAAATCACGCTCTTTTTGAGATAAGTTCAAATAAATGTAATTAATTACTTACGAGTGATTTTTAAATATTTTTTATATAACATTATTTATGTCTAGAATCTAATAAAAAATGGATACACTTAGAAAATCCACCCTGTATATGTACCCCTTGTTCTATTCCAAAGTTGCTAGCATTTTCCTAAAATTATACTCATTAAATGTTTTTACGAAGTGAAACTTCTAATTCGACGAGAGTGAATGCGTGGCACTCGAAGTTTCACTACTTCCGCGCGGAGGGCCTCCACGCAATTTTACGGTTATAAAGGTCCGAAGCGTCAGCGTCGGCGTTTGGAGTGTTTTAATTGAATCTCCGCTGTGGTTCTCAATGAAGGCCCTGATGCCCTCATCGTGTACTGAGTGGAGTTTCAATTTGACTCTTGGTTCATTTGTGTTAAAGCGTATATTGCGATTCTCGTAAGTAATGTGTGATTAATTAGTTTTATGTTTGATGATGCTTTAGAATGTGTTAATGTTGATGTGTTAACGAAGTCGATTTGTTGTCGTGAATGAAAGAATTTGTTTCCCTCGAAATCCTGGTGTGGGGAGCCAAAACTACACAATTCCAAAAAGTTCATAATTATTTCTACTGGTTGTTCTGTGCAGAATTGTCGCATAGTACGGTGATCAGTCACCGCATGGTTATATAATAATGTATAAATACATAATGTATAAATACCTTATACATTATTATACTATACACCACATTTCATTAAACAAATTGTCAGTAGATGCCATTTATGATACATTGTTTATTAGAAGTTTTGAAACGAAAGTTATTTTTTGCTATCACCAATTTTATTGTACATTTAACTCACTCATTGGTTTGTGGCTGCTGCGGAAGAACTGAGAATGAATGAAGAACAGCTGGCCCATTTGCGGTTGATGAGATTAAGGCTGCTTCTGTTTGTCCGCTACTGGATATGTCTGCTCCAACCTCAGCTGTACTTGAACTATGAAATAAATAAGAAAAATGTTATTTTGTAATTTAGTTTTGGTCAAGTCATTGCAGTAAATAGAACAAAGGTGTTGAATAATTTTTAGTAAATACAAAAGACAGCATCAGCTACAAAGTAAGCATACAAAGTTAAATAAGTATGCAGATGGTGCAATGTAATTAAAATTGGTAATAATGTAATTCATAAATCTTTAAAAATAAATTATTAATTACAAAGAGATTTTTAAAATAATTACAAAGAGATTTTTCTTACAAAAGTTTAGAAACACACCTGATACCAGTACTAAGCACTTCTTGTGCCGCGCTGCTGATATCATTGACATCATCACTGCTTGCAACCCCCTCCCCACCTCCCATATCTTCATCCATTGTACTTGATTCTTCTATAATAAAAATATGAGAACTTATTTAGATTGAAGTTATTCCAGCAAAAATTAAAATTATTTTTTATCCAAGAAAACAAGGAGAACTAATTTTTATGTTACAACTTAAATCAGTTCTTCACTCACAGTATGTCATTATCTCCATTATCTCACTGTGTATTATTATATTGAATGTATGGATGGCAAACTGTTTCTTTTATTCAAAACCCATATGGCCCAAAAAGTTACAAAATCCATAAATAATTGTAATGAATAGACATATTTTGCATTCAACTCAATTTTGAAATATTCCAGACTAAAGCATTATTATTCAGTATAGTCAACCTGCAATATAAATTTATAAAAAAAATCTTATCATACCATCCTGAATCATAGGTGCCCCATCTATTGGCATTGCAGAGCTTATGGACTGGTCTGGGGACTCTTCTTGTGCAGCATCTGCACCCTCACCCTCATCTAGGCCTGATTCTTTTAACATTGGATCCAGCTGGCTCTCTTCTTGTGGGGAGTTATCTTCGGTGATTGCCTGTTAAAAACCCTAGTTATGAAATAAAGCACCATTGCTGTAAAAGCTCTATTGTACTGAAAGTACCAGGGCACTTGATAGGATCCTAGTGAGTATTGGCAGAATTATATTACAAGCAATATAATACACTTGTTTTAATTATATTATATATATATATAATGTATTAGATATAAGGGTTAACAAATTAATTAATAAGCAAATCAAATTAAAATATCTTTATTCAATATAGTGGCATTACACTTACTTATTTATTGAAAAACATAATATAATAGATAAAAAAACAATAATACCGGTTCGGAAAAAAGACACTGACCTAAGAAGAACCAGCGAAAGAAACTCAGATGGGCATTTTTATCGTAATTTGACAAAAAATAAAAAAGATGTGAATAATTTATTATATTCAACTAAAACGGGCCTGGAGTGAATATCCGGACTGTGTTATTCAAATAACCACTAATACTATTACAGATTAATTTTGAATGTTTTCTGGGATTTTGTTGTAAAAGCATATTATACATTGTCCCATAAAAGATTTACTTATTCTACGCCATCTAGATAATGATTCTTAATGATTCTTAGGGGCAATTACTAAACAGTCTCTTTCCTCTAAAGACTCTATTTTACTTAAAGTATCAGGGCACTTGATAGTAGGCATGAGATATACCTGCAACATTCTGTACCCGGCCTCAAAGGTACGGGTATCGCCGTATACCCGTATATACTTTATTAAGCAATTATTTATATACCTAATTGTCATAGAAATAAAGAATAAATTTATCTCAAGGAATTATTTGGTATAAAATGCCACAGGCGGTCGAGCGGGAACGTTATGAAATACCGCCACCGTCTGACGAGGCAGCGCTAGGTCCGCGTACTCCCGAGTACATACCCGGTCTACATACTGGTACGTTTATACTGGGTATTTTATTTTTATTATTATACCTGTTCCAGTATATACGCCTCATCTCTACTTGATAGGGAGTATTTGCAGAATTACCTATATTACAAGGAATTAAAAACCAATTAATAATAAAGCAATATGAGTTTATTATTATTTCCAGATATAAGATTTAATGAATGGGGCATTTGAATGGAAATCAAATTTCTGAAGTACAATGAATTTGGGGAATCCAATAAACATTGACCAAATACAGTAGAATCCGCTTATTATGACTCCGCCTATATTGACCAACCGTTTAATATGACGTAATTACACTACGAAGTTTGGTTTTCATATAAAATTCTTTATAAAAAAGTCGAATATAATGACTTCTCTTACAGTGACATGTCACTTATTATGACCCATTTTTAATAAATTATGTCCGGTTATAATGACCGACATGGTTCTTGACACCTTTGGTTATGTTCGTTAATTCCCGATGACGTTCGGCACGTGGCTCGTTTTTGTTTTGAATCTCAGTGAGTAATTGACACTTAATAAAGGTCACGCATTGTTTTTTGTTTGTCGTTTGTGTTTTTCATTGTATGTATGTACTGTGAAAAAAAATGTCATCCAAACGCCGTAAAGCATTTACGATTGAGGAGAAAGGTGCAATGATATGCAGATTAGAAAATGGAGAATCAAACTCATCTCTCGGTGCAGAACTATAATCTCGATTTGTTCGTAGCAATATTGAAAATGATAATTTGATCATGGCGATGTCTTCTATACACAATAGTATTAGGGACTGTTTATACAATAAAATGAAAATACAAAAGCAGTCAAAAATTACAGATTACCTACATAAAAAAATATGTATGTACTGCATTACATGCAATTGTTATTTTGATTTAATATGTATGTATACATACTATGTTTCTCTATTAAGATACTTATATTAAACATAAGTTTTTTTTTCTCAAAACAGTTTGTATGACGTCCGCTTATTATGACGTGTTTTTCAATTCCTTTCGATGTTATAATAAATGGATTCTACTGTATACTGTAAAACAATATATAAAATTTTTGTAATTTTTTTACCTTTTAAAATAATGTTCTCAACAATAGTGATTTTCTCCCCTATGTATATCAGGAATATATTTCTGTTAAATATGTCAAAACTTTGGTAAAACTTACAGGTGTAGATAGGCAATTGTCACCAATATAGTTAGACTCATCAGGCATATTGCCTGGAGTAGTATCATCAATATCCATTTCATCTTCAGCCTCAGCATTATCTGCTGTAATTAAATATTTCAATGATTATAGTCACAAAAATACTATTTCTAGATAATGCTTAATAACTGTGATTTAGAATAGTGGTACTAAAAAAGTAGTTTAGTAGGTAACATGTTTAAACAGTTTCATAAAATCTTCCTATTTATTTAAATAAGATTGTTTATAATATATTTGGTATAAAGTTATTACAAAAAATTGTAACCTTGCTCATGGGATGAATGCTCTTCACTATCAGCAGCTTGTGATCCAGACTCCAAATCCAACACATCACTACTGCTAGTAGGGGCTCCATTTGTTGCTAAATGTAACAATATTTGCCCTAAATGTATTTAAAGAGTTAGTAGAAAAAGAAGTAAATTTAAAACCTAGACATAATTCACTGAATAAGAAATAATGATGTTAATTAAATCAAAAATAATATGTCGAATACAAAATCTCACTTCACACCTGTTTCTTCTGTTGGAACTGCTTCTGAATCATGGGCCGGTATGGTACTTTCAGAGGTTTCTGCAGTTTCTGGTTGGTTTTCTTCTAAAGGAGACATTTCCGCGCCATCAGGTAGGTCGCCGTGAAGAGCAGAATCCGACTCCATTTTAGAAATGTTTTAAAAGGCGTTATGTGTTATGAATTAATATTCATTGAAATTCGCGTAGTCAATTAAGCAAAATAATGTACCATAATAGTTAAAATCTCAAAATTTACACTTTTTTGACAAATTATAAAATCACACCATAAACATCAGTGTCAAGCCAACTCGGCGTCACTCATAGTCAGTGATACCAACTCTCGAAAATATTTGTCCCCAAAGCTTAAATCAAAAACCCCTAAAAATCTCCCTAGTGAAATAATATTATTAAAAAAATTGTACATAAAAATATCGCAAAAAATGTTGCCTTCATTTACACACGAATAGAATAATACAGTGATATTAAAGCGAAAATGTTGGTGTTTAAAAAAAATTATAGGGAATTTAATTTTATAAAAAACTTTTTTATAATGTTTTACCGTAAATCCAAAAATTCTCGAAAGATTCCTAATGAATGATAAATATATAATTTTAATTACTTTTGCCGCTTTCTTTAAAACGTATCTTACACAACCGCTATTGAATGCGTTTCGAGAGTCCGACCACTTTTAATGTCTACTCTCCATAGTTGAACTCTATATTCTTAGTATTGAAAAACCGTTCTAGATTTTGCTAAGGCACTATGTCAACAAATAAATATGATTGGGTAGGATGTGTTACTTTAGGCCCTACATTTTTCAAACACAAAAAATGACACGAAATAAAACGTAGGAAAAAATATAATAAGTCAAACATCCCTAAAAACAACTTTAAAAAAATAGTGCCCCCAAAAAAACCCGGCGCGTTTATTTATTCCTTAAATTTGGGGGGAAAACCCCTAAGATGGTCACCATATTCATAGGCTGACAGTGATTATGATTTTGTCACATAGATAAATGAAAAAAGTACAGACAAAAGTTCAATTTGATATAAACTTCTTTTGTTTTTCCGTAGTATATTTTGCTGTTACAGCGGCTTGCACAGCTTCGCTGAAAGAGATTCGCAGGTAGGTGATCGAAGATTGACCGAAATATGGACAAATCGACTCTTAGGGGGAGCACGACAAAATGGAAATTCGCACTTCGATTTAGACTTAATCAGATAGGTAATGAAGTCAAAATTGTGATTCAATCATGACATATAAGACGAGCATAACTACGTCGATTAATCACATACGATGTGAAAACAATTAATTTATGAGAATTAAATTATTTACCAGCAGAAGAAAATAATCATTTAAGAAAAGTATAAATCTTCGAAAGATTAATTGTTATTTCGCGAAGTCGGGATTAAACATAAAACATTTAGGGACGGCGCTGTCACGGATGCATGCATGCATCCCATACCCTCTTGGAGACCAAGGGGGTACGGGATGCAAAATACTAAATGCTTTTACCGAATTAAATGACTATAGATTGTTTTAAATGTCTTATCTATTACTAAATGAAACTTTGTTTACGGATTTATCGCGTTTATTTTAGTTTTAATACCCGACGTTTCGAACGTGACAGCCCGTGTTATGAAGTTTCAAGTGATTTTTTTTTCTCTTTTTAAAAACATTGCCCTTACTTAGGATAACACTATCCTGTTGCAAGTACGTTTTACATACATAAATTTGGACATATACCCAGATGCGAAACAACTATCTGTGGTCCACACAAATAGTTGTCCTGTGTGGGAATCGAACCCACGACCCCCGACGCCGAAGCCAATACCTTGGCGACTGCACCACGGAGTCATCGTAGAGTTATATGCACGAAACAGTTAATCACATAATCCACTTATCATCAGAAAAATCGAAACACTTCCCTTTTTATGGTTTCTGTCCTTGCGGTCTGAATAAAAGAGCGCCGTGTCATCCGCGAAAAGCGCGAGATTGACCTGGGGGTCTTTAGGTTTATCGCTCGTGTAGAGCGTAAAGAGCAAAGGTGAGAGGCAGGAGCCTTGTGGTACGCCGGCCGTGAGACGGCGGCTTGTGGTAAGGGTGCATTCAACTCGATATCGAAAAGAGCCGTTCGACAGGAAGGCCCGGATGGTGTGTACGAGCCTATCTGGCACTTTGTGTGTACAGCTTGTAAAGCAAGCCGTTGTGTCAGACCTTGTCGAATGCTTTTGCGACATCGAAGAAAAGAGCCCCTGTACTAACATATTTAGGGTTATTTAGGCCTTTTAGGATATGTTCCGTTAGGCGGAATAGTTGATCGGGACAGGAATGTCTAGCTCGAAAGCCGAATTGTTCCGTCGGCAGAAGGCCATTGGAAAACACGTGCTCATTGAGACTATTTAATAAAAGCCGCTAGTAGAAATTCCCCAGGCAACTGAGGAGGCTGATGGGACGATAACTAGAGGGCTGGCCGAACAAACCAGCCATTGTTCGGCTTGCGAATGCCGATAACCGTGGCTTCTTTCCAGTCGTCCGGAAAGGAGTAACTGGAGAGTATAGTATTGTAAATGATCGCCAGTAAACAGATAAGCGGCCCAGGGAGAGCGTTAAGAATTTTGTTGCTAATATTATCTGGGCCCGGGATGGATTTGGGTTTTAAGTTTTTAATAATATCTTGGACCTCTTCGGGGGTCACTGAACTCAAAGGATCGCCTTCCGGTGGAAGCGCAGCCCTAGTCTCGATTACGCGGTCCACCTCCGTTAGGTGGACTGTATCGGTGTGTTCGCGCGATGGCGTACATTGCTGCTCTAGGTTGTCCGCAAGGCATTCGGATTTTTCGGAGTCATCTAGGGCTACTGAAGCGCTATTAGGTCTAACTAACGGCGGTAGAGATTCGCGGGGATCTGCTTTCAGACTGCGGGCCAACCGCCAGTAGGCGGTGTGCGATGGCTCGATGTCCTCTAGGAAAGTGTCCCACGTTGTATGTCGGTGTTCCGATACACGATCTTTGACTTCTAGCTGAAGGCGTCGAAGTAGGGTTCGGTTCGATTCCGATCGGTATCGGTCGAAAGCGGGTTTGGCTGCATTTTTCTGCGTAATTAGAAGTCGCAGGTCGGGCGGAAAGTTAAATCGTCGATCGCCCGACAGTTTCACCGTCCGTTCCGAGTCTGCAACTGCGGAAGTGATGGTTTCTCGGAGACTTGCTATCGCTCGATTTGCGTCATCGAACGTAGCTATCGTCTCGGGTAGGCCGACTAAGTCCTCGGGGTCCAAGGCCTTGAGTTTGACTTCAAAACGATGCCAGTCCACTACGGATTTGGTCGGAGGGACCGCGCCGGCGTTCTGGCCCAGTTTACACAGGACGGGCCCGTGATCTGAATCTAGTTCATGGATTGTCTCTATCGACTCGAAGTCGAGCAAGACCTCCTTGAATAACATGATATATAGGATACTCGGTGTCGCGTGTTGGTAGTTGTCCACCGTAGGATACCTAGTGGGAGTCGCAGGTGCGATAATGCTAAAATTTAAATTATCGGATAACCTAAAGAGATGCCTTCCGTGGATGTCCCATGAGCCGTGTTTGCAGTTTAGATCTCTTGCGATTATCATGGAAGGGCCTAAGTTGAGTAGCGTATCTAGGTTGCTTTGTAATAAGGTTTTGTTCCCCAAGAGGTAGGCTGAGACAAGTACCAGCGGCCTATGGCCAGTGAGCGCTAACCTACATGCGGATGCCTCTATATGGCTTAGCTCTGGAACGTCGAGCGGGCTACAGTGCAAGGACCGTTTATAATAAATTAAGGTGCCTCCCAGACGGTTTGCTAACCAGTCGTGGCGGACTATGTTGTAGTTTGCGATTCTGGGATCGCGAACACTAGGTTTTAAGAAGGTCTCTTGCACTAGAAAAATATCTACATTAAAATAGCGAAGGAAATCTGCGATTTCGTCCCTTTGACCCTTAATGCCGTTTGCGTTGAAATCAAGCAACACAAGTCTGTCTACTACTGCATCATGAAATTGCTGCTCCTGAATATAAGCATTAAATTCCAGACGTTGAACGTCTTGTGGTGGCATCACCCGCATGTATTGAATCAGTGTAACATTCTAGGATACCTGTCTTGTATTATGTTCCCTTAATGTATCTCAAGATTCTCTTGACCCTTGAAACGTCAGCATGTGTGCAGGTGTGGGCTTATCTAATGCTCTGGATACCACACTAATAGCATAAGCTAAGTCTGGTCTACCTCCAACAATAAGGTAGAACAAGGCTCCTACAGCTTCTCTATAAGGAAATGTATTTCCATCCCTTGAATCTTTCTCCAAGTCATAACTATCTTCTTTGACAATAGGCGTTGTAGCTGCTTTACAGTTACTCACCACAAAAAGTATTAAGCTTTTCTGTGTAGGGCTTTTGAGAAAGTTTAACACTAGACTATGTTTTTGTGATTTCGAGACCAAGAAAGTAGGTCGCTGGTTTGATCGTTATTTTGAAACGTCTTGTCAGCTCATTCATAAATCTTTTTGATTCTTGTGGATTACTTGAAGCAACCAGATCATCATCAACATTTATAAGATAATATTTTACAGTGATTTAGATGACACAGCAATCTAAACACAATTGAATTTCTCTATAAGTAAAGAAACAAAATTTAATGTTATTAATCACAATGTCGATTCCTAAATCACTATTTTACATTAAGTATTTTTGTAATAAAATTATTTTCAAGAATTGTGTCATATGACAGCTTAATTCTTTTTATGTTATAATCCGGCATCAACCATAGTTTTTGAAATAAATTTTATTAGCGGCCGATGCGTGAAAATATTTAGAACAAAGAAATTATTTAAATAAAAGAAAATAATATTTTTCTTTACAAACATATAACGCCAATATGATTTTAGAATTCCTGGTGTTTCTTATAAACAGACAGTTATCGTTATCACATTGCTTGAAGTTAATACATGTTAGATAGTCAACGATGCATTTGTTCCAGCACCTTGGGGCTTGTTTTAAACCATAAAGGCTTCTTATCAGCTTGCATACGTTATTTGAACCATCATTATAACCCACAGGTTGTTTCATGAAGATTTCTTCAGATAACGATCCATTCAGAAAAGCAGTTGACACGTCGAATTGTGTTAGCGTTAGTCCTTCATTTGCAGCTATGCTCAATACTGAATCTTTTGTAGCTATTTTGGCAACTGGACCAAATGCCTTTTCGTAGTCAATGCCTTTTCTTTGTGTATACAAGCTACTAGCCTTGCTTTAAAATTATCAAGAGATCCATCAGCGTTTGTTTTAATTTTATATACCCATTGGCATTAAACTGGCTTTCTGCCTATAGGTAGTAGCACCAAAATCCAAGTTTTCATCTCTTTAAGTGATTTCATTCCACTATTCATAGCTTGAATCCATTGATTCTTTTCTGGACTTGCAAGGGCTTCTTGATATGTCTTTGGGTCTTCAACATTTGATAAAACATTTAACAGACAACGGACATCAAAACATAATCATCATATCGAATTGGTGGTCTTAGTTGAGATCTATCTCTCAATTGCATTCTCGATTCGACAGACATCTCATCTTCATGTATATTATATTCCGAGATTTGTGTATGTTTGAGGCACATCGCAAGTGGGTTCAATGTGAACTTCAGACTGAGATTCAACTTCAGATATTGGCAGATTAAATTCTGGCACGCATTGTATAACTAAGCCTGTCGTCTGTTCCTAGTCTACAAACACTATCGGCAGACTGGTTTGTTCACGCACCGTTCAGGGTCAGGCAGGATTCTGGTCACTTCTGAGCGAGATGATAGATTTATTGTAACAACTTCTTTACGAAATCGACGCTTTAATGCTTTTTAACTGCAGCAGCAGTTCCATGTTGTACGTAGAGTGACTCTAAAATTAGAAAATTGACGGAAGGTGGACTGGTACCACACAAGCCAGCAAATGGGCCGGAATTAACTGCAGACGATTGAAGTGGGCGCCTTAACTTTGCACGTTAGCACCTAAGTTGGTCATACATACCACAGGTGGAACAAAGTTCTCTTTTCTGGTAAGTATAAATTATACTGTATGGTAACGACGAAAAAAACAAGGTCTACAGAAGAGATTGAACGCTTCGAATAATGCTGCATTGAAAAAAGATAAGCTATGGTGGGGTTTCGTGGACGGTTTGGGGAGGAATCAGCACCGACGGTAAGATAAAGCTTGTCTTTGTGTCCGGGGCACGTCTGCCTACACTAAACAGTCATCTGTACATTGAACAATGTCTTGAGCCTCACGTGATTCCCCTTGTACATTTTATTGGCAACGGATTCATATTCATGCACAACAATACAAGAGGTCACACCGCGAGCATCGATTTTGGTATCGAAGTCGGTATCTCCATCATGGTTGGCCAGCAAGAAGCCCGGACATGTATCCGATTGAACATCTGTGGGATGAATTAAAGATACAAATTCATGCAAAAGATCCTGCCCCAGAAACACTTGGCCAGCTGCAAAATGCAATCAAAGAGGAATGGAATGGAATGCCACAACATTTGATCGTAACTCATTCGATGAAGAACCGTACGGAAGCAGTAATAAGAGTTCGGGGGGGGAATATAAGTTATTAAATAAACGTTTCTTAGCTTTTTTCATTTACGTGTTGTTTAATCAATTTCCTTTATACCACATACAACATAAACATGACTTATTAAACAAAATAAGAAACCTATGAAAATTTTATTTGAATGTAGAACATTAACATTAGGATTTGAAAACCTCATATTATTCACTATTCAGACATTTGCCATAAGTATATTCCTAAATATACACATTTTTCTGATAATCCTTACAAAACAAACTAGCAAGATGTTTCGATTTTTCTGATGAGAAGTAAGGGGTTTTCCAATAGGTCCAACTGTCACTGTCAGTTTATTTTAGTATTCAGTAAACCTAAACTCTACTTTGACAAGTATACAAGGTTGATTGAGTATAAGATTGTATGACTGCATACAGTCATCATAATTAAGATTAAGTATTTGGCTTGAGACCTGAAATAACGAAAAATATGTACTTTGGGTAATCTAATTACTAATTAAAAGGTATACTAGGATATTCAAGAATTAAAATGGGTAACAAGAATAATGAAAAACCAGGAGAAGGATTAAGTTCTTTAAGATCCACAACAGCTTTCAGAGTTATAAACTTTGAATTATATGCAAAACCTGTGAGTATAATATTAATAGTAACAGTACGTTTATAATGTATTAGTTTAGTAACTTATCTCTCAATATAACATTCTTTTCAGAATATTGTAATTATGAGCATAGGTGTCACATGCTTTGGCTTAGCCCTGGGTTACATAGCCTACATGCGACAAAAATATGAAGCAATGGGATATTATGCTGCTTTAGATAAAGATGGAAAAGAAGTGTTTGAAAAGAAAAAGTCCAAATGGGATTAATCAAAATTGCCTTTTTAGATACCATGATGCCTTTTACCTGGTAAAAGAAAATATTGCTGTTTATATAGAAAAATGTTAGTTGTTATCTTTATTTTTACCCAATTATGAAATTAAAGTTTTAATATTTTTGTGATTCAATATGTCTCTAGCGATCTCACAAAATGAATTGTTTTTTATTTTAGGTCCATTCTCAATTATTTTCACATAATATTTAGATTTTGTACAAGTGTTAAATTTTTATATCATTGTTTTAATCTTTTCTCAATAACTCCTATTCTCTATCTATAGGAAACAAAACTGAGAATTGAAATTTTTGTGATATAAAGTATACTCCATACTTTTATTAAATTCAAATTAGACTTGTACATGCTCAAAACTTTGTATATATCACAGGAATTTACATTTAGGTATATTTAAAGAATTACTAATTATTGACATGTAAATAAAAGAAAATTATTATGTTTAAAAATGTGTATATGAATGAAAATAATTTATTCTCATTACAGCTTACAATAACATTCTAATGAGAAAATATGCAATGCTGCTTCAACTGTACCATCTTCATACTGCATTCTTTGCCTCTGTTTGGTGCAAATATTTTACTATTCTGACATCTGTCTATGTACAAAAGTCAGCATTACACTTTTTACTTGGTCCAGGACAGTGTATTGTACTTTACTGTGCATTTTAGCACAGTCAATGGCCATCAGGATCACGGTCCGCACCAAACCTCAATGGCCCTTGGCAATATGTCATAATTAATGCACGCATGAGTACATGCGCGGCCCTACCCACTGAAGAGGGCCTCAAACCTGTGGGTTCTGGCTAACCCACCGGTTCTGCGTTCAATGAAGCTTTAATAGCTCAAAGACTGAAAGCGTAACATTGGTTATACAAAATCAAAACTGTGCATTTCAATTTCATATTGCTTTCTTCAGGTTAATGCATTTTCGATGAAAAAAAACACCTATTTTTCTCTGCACTCTAATGATTCACCATTACAAAAACTAGCGTACACTCGTAAGAAGTGAATGCAACTTTACTAGAAATTGGTTAAATAAAGTTAAATTAGATAAAGTTTAATAAGAGGCTTTTATTATCATAGACATAAATACAAATTCTACAATTATTTCATTTTAGCTTTGTATAATATTTAGTTTCTTAATTGTAATACATAGGTGGCGTTAGTAATAAATTAAAACACACTATGGTTTGACCGTTGTAATTAGTATGAGGGTCCGCAAAAATTGTTGATTAAAAAACTTGCAACGTGAACCTTGTTTATTTCAATTAACCTCACGGACCCAAAATACAACCGCTTTCAATTTGTACATGGGCCTTCGTTGCCGAATAGTCAGCCAGTGAGTAGAAGGCAGACATTCGACTCGCGCGCGAGTGTTGTGAGTGAAGTTTTTCTAGAAAACCGAACTTGCGGACGTTGGATCGACGTCGCAACCGCAAGTTCCAGGAGCCGATCGAGGTTTCGAAGAGCATCATCGGTCAGCTTCAAATTGTGTCTTCGGTGGAAGGCGCAGTCAGGTCACGGTGGGCGGTGCCTGCCTTTGGAGAAGAGGAAGTCGACACAGTGTCGTGCTCTGAAGTATTAATCTAAAATGTAAACAATAATTAAGTGTTATTGTTTACATTTTTGAATTAGAATTAAAATAAACACTTTGATTTTGCTGATCACTTTAATATAACATATATATATATATATATATATATATTGCTATGAACACACAAAGGAACTAACGCCATCTAGCGTCAACTATTAAAACCACTAAAGAATAAAGACGACATAAAACCCCCTATTCAACACTAGATGGCGTTAGAGGAACATTTTAAGATAAAAAAAAAGATGGCGCGTAACGGAAAAATGTTACACTAAATTTTTTTCCAAACCCGATAAAGAAGTTTCACTTCAATAAATAAAGAAGGCAAACAAGATTTATTTCTACCGGTAATTATTGGGACTCTATCTGATTAAGTCACATAAATTTTTATATTAAAAAGTGAAATGAAAATTTGGATACCTTTTACTGGCCTTTGACAAAGCCAATAAAGAAGGGTTGTGTGTATACGTAAGTATGTGTCTTTTAAATGATATACTGTTGCACTAGTCTTTATTGCATTATATTATAATTATTAAATAAATCAGAATGGCATCTCCGCGACCCCTGCTAACGAAAAATGGATAAATTGATACAACCTCAGTGTGGACTGCAATCAATAGTGTAACTTATCCAGAGGAAGTAAAAAGTCCGAAATTACTATTTAGTCCCGAAACATACCTACATCAGACGATCGCCTCAAACACTAAATTACGAAAACGTACGACGAACAATCGTAGGCAAATCTGTCAAACAAATCTTTATTAAATAACATGTTATTACCTTTCCCTTGCATACTGGATCTTTTCCTTCCTAATGGCGGAAAGCTCTTATCCGTCCACCCGCAAAGTGCCCCAATCCAACAGTTCCAGCTAGCTAGCCAGAAGGACAGAATACAGATTCTACTCTTCCTTTCCAAGGTTAATCCAATATATATCCAATATATATTTCCAATTATATGATGAGAACATTTGCAATGCAATAACTTTGATTGATGCAGATCTATCTGATTCTTATTGATGACTCCATGGCGCAGTTGCCAAGGTATTCGGCTTCGGGGGGGCGTGGATTCGACTTCGTGTTTGTCCACGTGAAATTTATGTTTGTAAAACGTCCTTACAACACAATGTTATTCTAAAGTAGAGGCAATGTTTTTTAATTTGAAAAGAAAGAAGAACATATCCCTGCATCTTATACAACTTTCTCACTCTGTGTTTTACTATAAACTATAAAACACGAAGCATTATAGTCGCTCCAATATGGCATAAAGAAAACTAATGTAACATGATGGGCGGAGCTAAACTGTACCGCGAGACGGTTTTATGTCATTCCTGGCCGGTTAGACGATCGAGTTTTCAATAATTATGATGTTTTATCAATTCTAATTGTGAAGTGGTGCAGAAGACATAGAGATCATCATTCTGCAGTCATCTCGGGGATTGAGCCACCTATTACCAGCTTCATCCATTTGAATTTTGACCGCATTATTTATAATTATAGTAGTACATAGCACATTCTGCATCATTTTACTTAATATTATCATATAATATATAAAAGCACTACCTGAAAGTGTTTCAGCGGACGGGAGGGAACTGGCATAATAAAACCGACTGAAGGACTCTGTATTCATGTTCACGAAATAAGTTTAAAAAAAGCATACTATAATGATGCTTAAAGATACCATAAATTTCACGTTAAATTCCTAGATATTTTTTTGGGAATAGTTTAAGGAATTAAATTTTGTTAACAATTTTTTAAAAAATACAGCAGACTCCCCGATGAACCTTTTGATACTACATGATGCTGCTTATGGATATTTTTATCTATAATTAGCAGACCGGACAGACATCTAACATCTTGTACACACGACGAATTGAACAACTTAGAAATAAAAAAAAAAAATTATCGAATTGTGAATCTAAACGATTCTCGAATCGACCTGAAATTAAAGAAAAAAATTAAATTAAAATCGGTCCAGACGTTTAGGAGTTCAGTGACATACACACGTACAGAAGAATCATCACTACATATTATAAAATAAAGTCATCCCGCTGTCTCTGTCCATATGTATGCTTAGATCTTTAAAACTACGCAACGGATCTTGATGCGGTTTTTTTTACTAGGTAGAGTGATTCAAGAGGAAGGTTTATATGTAGAATACATTGCACCCATGTGAAGTGAAGCCGGTGCGGGTCGCTAGTTATATATATATATATATATATATATATATATATATATATATATATATATATATATAGTGCTGGCTATATCAATTCACACCCAAGATCTATGGAATATTATTTATTCCCAAACTGTAATATTAAATTTACATGTTTTCCATAGTAATACAATCTGTTAAAATTTAACAATGTCCAAATATGGATCTCGTATATGAAGTTCCGTATTTTTTAAACAAAAGCATACTGTGCAATTAGCTAATCGGTAGCTGGGAGCGGTGAAAACCGCCCCGGAACGCGGGTGTACCTTGTGTAGGTACGCGTTGTGTTGGTCTCGCTGTGCTCGGCGGCGAGGGCGAACTAGTGTGTTTGTTGTTGCACTAACTGTGGGTGTAGTGTTATCTGGCAGGACCCCCGGCAGTGGGTCCGGCTCCTTATATTTAAAAGGTGCATCTATAACATGTATTATTTTTATAGTATATTTCGGAAATTGAAATCACATTTTTACGTAAATAATTTACTAAACGGCACCAGACTCGAAATCATTGATAACAAAGACATTATAAAAAAAAATAGCCAGTGAATATTATGAAAAACGCAATAAAGTTTGGAAAACATATTTCTGTGTTTTATTTACTTTATCCAAAAATAACATCCAGCAAGCTTGTACCCAACTAGTTTTCTGTGCAAAGTTATAAAATATAAATTTTATATACACGACATATAAAACAGTAGTTGAATACAACTCAAGTCAACTAGAAAAACAAAATCGTTAACCTAGTTACTAGATTACAACTGACCTTATAGTTCGGTAACGCATCAAGAGGTGGCGCTGTATCACGAGAAGACTGATAACTCATATTAATAATGTACTCTTTGGTATTGGTATGGACTGCGTGATACTGCTCCATAGAGTATATATGTTCTGTGACTGCGTGCATCTATGGTAAATAGTACAAGTTTGTGAATGTGTTGTGTATGTGTCATATTGAACGAGCCAGTAAGCGATATTCGGATATTGTACTAATATCTAGTTTTTAGGGATGGGTCGTATCGCTTTTTCTGAGTACCGTATACCGAGTGGATATAAGATGAATGAAATAACTTCCCTTCATACTTTTTCCAGGCTTAGGACTGGCTGCAATATTTCATACTTATTATAAATATAAAATTGTGCAGGCGTATTTAAAAGTTGATTCATTCTATGTACATAATTTTCCTTATATTATATATTTATATATAAATATATAATATAAGGAACATTATATATTTACAATTATGTCAGGGTTAATAATTATTTATATCCCTCCAGGTTCAAATTCACGTTTAGGAACGTAAGCTCTCTGACTTTATTCGTCGAAAGTCTTGTTCGACGATCATTAATAATTAACCCTGTCTTACTAAAATGCGTTTTTTAAAATTATTAAATTAAAAATTTCATTAAAAATATAAATTGAAGTAATATAAAAATGATTTATTTTAACATCTTATATACCGCTTAATAATTGACTTTTACATATTTTTAGAACTCGCAATCGAGTGGCAATATTTTTATTATTTGTGTAAGAAATAATACATTCAGTATTATAGCTTAGGGCGGAAGAATTTAAAATATACACACAAGGCACATAAGCCTTGGTCTGATTTCCACCAAAGCAGCACAGCACTATTAAATTATATTTTTCTTTTTGTGTACTTTTATTTTTTTCCAAAAATATGAATAAAATTTAGCTAATAAAAATATTCACAAAAAATTTACCTCCTAAAAAATTTCCATTGTATATTTTTCTTCCTTAATTTAGGCGGAAAATTCTTAAGTAGTAAGTTGGCATCCCTTACTATTACGTGCTAGGTACCAATGCAATCCAGCTCAAGGCTGAACAAAATTTCAAAGACATCGTTAATACCGTAATTCGTATTTAAATGCAACAGAGTTTTTTTCCATGCTGTTAAGATTCAAAATTACTTAACTGCGCGCTTTGTCGCCCGTTACGGCTCAAGGCTAAACAAAACAATAAAAAATATAATAATATCGTTGTAGTAATCGCTGATACCAAGATTAGTATTTAAATGAAACGGATCTTATTTGCATGGTGTTAAGATTCAAAATTACTTAACTTATTCATAATATCTGTTTAAAAATCTGATATCGTGCATTGCTTGCCGACCCACTCTAACTAGTAAGTGTTTATATCTCACGCGCTTTGTCGCTCGATATCTGATATCGTGCATTGCTTGCCGTCCCACTCTAACTAGTAAGTATTTATATCTCACGCGCTTTGTCGCTCGATATCTGATATCGTGCATTGCTTGCCGTCCCACTCTAACTAGTAAGTGTTTATATCTCACGCGCTTTGTCGCTCGATATCTGATATCGTGCCTTGCTTGCATTGCGCCGTCCCACTCTAACTAGTAAGTATTTATATCTCACGCGCTTTGTCGCTCGATATCTGATATCGTGCATTGCTTGCCGTCCCACTCTAACTAGTAAGTATTTATATCTCACGCGCTTTGTCGCTCGATATCTGATATCGTGCATTGCTTGCCGTCCCACTCTAACTAGTAAGTATTTATATCTCACGCGCTTTGTCGCTCGATATCTGATATCGTGCATTGCTTGCCATCCCGCTCTAACTAGTGAGTATTTGTATCTCACGCGCTTTGTCTCTCGAAATCTGTTTAAAAATCAGATATTGTGGCAAACGCGTAGGATATCGCCGTATCGCGATTAGTGTCGGTATAGCGAGCGAGCACGGTACATCAGATTTCGGAAATATCAGATATTGTAAAATACATAGATATTGAACGAGCCAGTAAGCGATATTGGGATATTGTACTAATATCTAGTTTTCATATCTGATACGGTTTGTATCGCCCACTTCTACTAGTTTTCATATCTGATACGATATGTATCGCCCACCACTACTATTTACATACTTGTTTGATAAGGCTAAAAAATAAGCATAACGTTTTTGTTATTGAAAGTAGTGATTGAACTTAAGTATACCATCAAAAAAGTTTAACTTAAAATGTTTTCTGCTCTGAAGAAGTTAACTAGAACTAACGATGATCGCTGTCCAGCTCCAATGCCGATGTCTTCTTCTTTGCAGAGAAAATTTTCAAGAGGAGTTCATTTTAACAGTAATGAGTTTAATATATTATCGCCATTTTAGAAAGTCTATAACAATTTTTTAGTTATTATGTTATGTGTAATAATTTTAAATTTTAGTGAAAATATTAATCAAAGGGGACAGAAACGTAGGCAAATCATGTCTTTTGCAAAGGCTACAAGGCGGACCATTTACCGAAGAATATGTTCCTACCGAGCAAATACAAGTAGCTCCTATCCATTGGACATATAAAAATTCTGACTATATTGTAAAAGTAAGTATTATTATAATTATCATACCATAATTGGTGATATGTTAATTTTAAATTAATCATTATAGTGTTAATAACATGTGACTTAAGTTTTTGGTAACTTCATCCCTTTGTTTTTTGGGTTACTTCAATTTAGAAGGTTGTGATTGCAACTTTTTATGTAAAAAAAATTAGTATTATATGTTAAGCTATCAAATATATTTTGCAATAATTCATTATGACATACTAAAACTATTAAAATCATTCACACATCATTCAATCATCGACACATTTTAGAAAGAGTTTCCAACTGTATATGTGTATTAATAGGCTGATGTTGTTTTTGCTTTTCTTCATTATTTATATTATGAGCAGCTACAATATGTAGCTTCCATTAAAGAATAATATTTATGAACTTCATTTACTATGTCAGATGTTAGATATAACATATTATATTGTTTCAAATAGATTTAATAATGTATTCTCTTATTTTATGTTAATTGTAATTAGTTTTATAGGTGGAAGTGTGGGAAGTTGTTGACAAAGGTAGAGCAAAGAAAAAGCCTCCCTTAGGACTTAAGTTGGAGAATCAAACGACACCCGCTGCCCAGGATGAGGAATATGAGACACCAGTTTTGGATGCTACATTTTTAGATGTTTACAAAAATGCGAGTGGTGTTATATTGATGCTAGATATAACAAAACCTTGGTATGTCTATCTCACCAACTCTAGAACATCATGCCTTAATTTGACTGTTTCAGTTAGAGTAGATGTAATGTACCAGTTATAATATAACTGGTTCATTACATGTCTATATTACATAATTATTATACAAGAGGCAGGCAGAATGAAGAGTACATGGGGCTAGCTGTTCCCATATTTCCCCCATTACATTTATTTGTAAACAATCCCAGTGTAGAACAGTGCGTCCCATTGTATTATCTATACTATACTGTTATGTGCCATTGTTGCTTCATATTTTCTTTTTCTGACCAAATGACCAATGTCTTTCTAAGAGCTATTTGATAAATCTTTAAATATAAATGTATTAAGCTATATATAAGCATAGTTTTAATCAAAATATTTATACTACCAAATTTATTTTTACATAAATAATCTGCTTAATATTTCTACCAAGTACTACCAAATATCTAATTCATGAATATTCCAGAGACTGAACACCAACATTGTTTACAATTATACATTAGTGTACAGAAATCCTAAGATACTTGTGGAAATTTACTTGGAACAGTAGCATGTACAAGAAGGCCATATCCTCCCTTACTTGGCTCTACATATTATAGCCCTTCTGATAAATGTAAACTGTGCACCAGATGATGACTTGGGTGAACATCATGGTGAATTCAAGTTGTGCGAAATCTAAGCTATATTAGATTATTGAGGCAATCGATAGAATCCTAATAACATCTTTCAGGACTTTTGAATATGTGGTCAAGGAGTTGGCGCGAGTGCCGGCGGACTTACCTGTCGTAGTGCTCGGTAATCACTGTGATATGCAACATCACCGTCAAGTACATCCTCATCACATAGATCAAGCTCTATATAATGCTAAACTGACTAGGTAATAAAAAATATTAATGTGTGAATAATATTTTGCCATATATTTTTGATTTGTTCTTCCAATGAATAGTTACATACATATTATGTAATGTCACAGGACTTTTGTGGAATATGCTTTTATGAATAAGCTATGTAGATTTTATAAGGTGTTTTTGGCCCTAGGTGAGAAAATAGAAAATTTAACATTAATTTTGTTAAGGAACAGTTTTATACTAAACATTTACATCTTTATATTTAAAAAAATATAAAAGATTTTCATGACATTGACCCATATTCTGTTTGTTATCTGTATACATGTTTAATATATATAAAAAACGTTTCTTAACAAACACTATTTGAGTTTTAGCCATAATGATATAAATTGACGGATTCTATTCAATAGACATCTTTCCTCATGCTTTAATGTAAAAAAAAAAATAATTACGCCATGTTTTCGTAGGACGGCACCAGTTCGGTACGCTGAGTCATCCATGAGAAACGGATTTGGCTTAAGATTATTGCACAAGTTTCTGAGCGTTCCCTTCTTGAGGCTGCAAAAGACCAGTTTGCTTGAGCAACTGCAAAGAAACCAAAGGGACATGGAGGAGATCGAAAAGGACCTGGACGATTTTCAAGTGAGCATACTTTCTGTAAATAAAAAATAAATAAAAACTGAAAACTGATTAAAAAAAATAAATAAAAAATGAAGCAACGCCAACCTGTGGTGCCCACGCCAACCCATGTGAACGCTTTACAGAATTCGGACGAGGCCCATTACAATGTGTTTTTGGATCGACTCGCTAATAAGCGACGGCAGAGCAGCGAGCCGATCGAGCCTCGTGTGATAAGCGATAGGTCCCCAAGCATCGTCCTGGGCGCCGGAAAACCTATTGTGCCCCCCAACGTCAACCCACTCGTGAGTATTTCTATCCGGTTGTCCGTTCGTCTCACCACGATAATGAATGAAAAAGGAACTTTTTGCCTACAACCAGTTAGCACAGTCCCTCAACCCGAAGGGAATCAAAGCACACCACAGCGCACCAGACAGCATTCCGAACAAACAAAGCCAGTATGTGAGTCCCGAACTGATACATCCGAAGCCACCGGTCAGTATGGAAATGACACCCTCAAGGCAGTCGCAAGTTGAAAGGTAGAGGTATTCTTAATTACTCGGACGTGAACTCTCGAATTTAATTTATATTGCATATTTTTATTTAGAGCAGGATTCGCTAAGCTATTGCCTTCGGCAACAGATAGAACTATAATAAATATTTATAGAATTAAAATAAAAATAGATTAGAATTAAAATTAATACAGATTAGATAGATAACTGTTCCGGATCTCCGGTGTTTATTTCCAAGGAGGGTTGACGCCAGGCAGGCGGTCAGAAAATAATCTACCCAAAACCACTTACAACACGTGTATCATACACATGTTGTTTCGATCCCACCCTCATGGTATGTGGGCATGAGGATGATTACGATGTACTAACATAATTAAATCAATGAAAGCACAAACAGTAATTTCTTTTTTCGATAAGTGAAAAAACCGATGTTCACTTGTGGGTGTTTCCTTTTTGGATGGGCATTTGTTACATGACATTTATTAATTCAATAACGACTGGTTCCAATATTCTAGCTACAGATAGATTTGGTTACTAGCTACTAATACCTATCGTATTTGACATTAGCTCCATAATACATACAATCAAACATTCTAAATTCTATCTCCAGTACCAAATCTATCTGTAGATTGAATTTCGGCATTGATGATCGGCGCTTTATGTGAATAAAATTGTTTCTTAACTTCAGTAATCCAAGTACACCGGCAGCCAAAACTGTATCAACGTCCTCGGGTGCTTTAGACGAATTTTACGCAGGGACGCTTGATAGTAGCTTTTTGGAGGATCTTGCACCGCTATCTCATCCCAACCAGGAAATTGCTCCCGAAAGTGACAGGTATTATATTAAATCTAAAGGTTTAAGGTTTATTATAATTATGAAATTCGACATAACATATTTAACTATAGTTATAACTACTTTTTCTACTATTGTTACTACTTAAGTTTAAGTTTAAGCCGGTGTTCTGGGTACGCGATACTTTATCGGAGCCAGACCATTCGTGGATTAACAGAAGCCTTTGGATATCATTTCCCAATATCGCAACATACAACGCAACTAGTAAGGAAGATTTGCTCTTTGCAAATATCTAGATATCGACCTTGAAGATTCGCCATTGTCCTCAATTTCCTCCAATGCAGAGGTCTTTTTCATTCCATAGATGTCTATCTGGCGATATAAATGTGTTGTTTCTTTAAGCACACTTGACATTTTCCCTAACATAATTATTATTAGTCTCGCAGAAACGAATTGATCTAGGCACTACAGATTCCATGAATGTCTGGTTACTGAGTGGCGATTCGCCAATTATGTCTTAAATTTCTTACATGTTTCTCGTATAAGTTTTGCTTTACTTTTAGTGAGGACGATATCGCAACAAATCCAAAAGTCACGATTGAGGAAGACGATTTGGACGTTGATAATACTCCACCGACGAATCAACATTTTGAATCGAAAGTAAACACAGATTATCATTCGACGATTGGCAAGGAGGACGAGAGTTTAGAAAACATGTTTTCAAACAAGACGTATATAAGTAAAGATAATTTGGAGGAGAACGATAATATAATTTTATCAAGTCATCGAGAACTGAATCTTAATTTGTCCCTGAACAGTGATTTCCCTATATGGGCTGGAGATTCGAGTATTAGAAGATCGCCCGAAGGTATTCCTTTTTTTGAACCTACAGAGAATTTGTATTTTAATCGGTAATAGGTTTCATTGTAAGCGGATACTTATTGTTTTGGATTTTGTTTTGCGTATACTGGGTGGCTTTTCTAAATGTATCCATTTTTTATTAAATTATAAACATTACATAATGTTATATAAAAAATTATAAATATTTAAAATCAGTCGTAAATAATTAATTACATTTATTTGAACTTATCTCAAAAAGTGCGTAATTTATACGCAACTCTTTTATTTTACGCGCGATCATTCATAACTAACACGCACACAATTTCGTGCACAGTAAAATTTAGGTACTTATGAATGAGTACCGCATTGTCAACACGTTCTCTTTTTTAGGGATTAGAATGGAATTTTTTTTGGAAAAAAAACTTTTTATTTCAATAAACGATTATACTACCGAGTCCTGAACCTCCTGTGTAAATTTGGGCACTTCTTAAAAAAATCTCCCTGTATATGAAATTTTATTATTATAAGACGGTCGCAATGTATATATTATTATATTAGTGAAGAGACATATTATAATATAAGACAAAAAGATCCATGCTAATATAAATGCTAATTCCATCCACATTTTATAAGCAGTATTATAATACTGGCAGAACTTTTCTTTAAACTTTTTCATTTATTAAAGTTTTTTTTAAAGAAATTCAGTCATAACATAACTCAATTGCAGGCGGAGAAGATCCTGATAATTCTAAAGACCCGGAGCGTAAGGTAATGATTTTTCTTTTATGAATTTACAAAATTTGACACAACCAAACCATATAACCGTGACCATTTCTTGAAGACTTGAAATGTCATCTGAAGTCTTTAATTTGTATATATATATATATATATATATATATATATATATATATAATATATATATATATGTATGTATGTATATACATGGTTATATTTATACAATATTTATATATTTTAATGTGAAAATATGTGTATATATATAAGTAGTTTATTTTTATATAATTTTGTATTATAAGTATATATTATAAGTATCTGTCACTATTTTGGTTGATTATTTTACTATTTAATTTTAGTTAGTTTTATAATTGCACCTGCCTAAAGATCTCACCACATCATAGGTTGACTGGCAGAGAATGCCTTGAGGCATTAAGTCGGCCTATTGTGTTCCGTATTAAACGAAATGCAATAAAGACTAACTAAATAAATAAATAATCTACTAAAATAATTGTTATTGGAACAGGCCGAGAAGAAACACAAGAAGAAGAAATCGAAGGACAAGGACAAAGGTGACAACGGAGAGAAAACCGAACGCAAAGAAAAGAAGCACAAACACAAGAAAAGCAAAAGCGAGAAACGTAATTCCAATCCGCAACAAGATTTACTCGCACCGACTTTGAATACGGACTTCGACTATGACGACTATGATAGTATTTAACAAGATATGTGATTTTAAATTGGAACCGTTGGTTGCTTCGAGGACAGGTCAAGAATGATATCTCAGGAAAGTAAATGTTAGGAAAGGTGGCTTCTGCTTTGTGTAGTTTGGCTTACGAGTCGTTGCCATAATTTAAAATATTATCTTTTTTATACATAATAATTGTTATTTAAGCAAAGCGAATTCGCTCTATTTAGTATAGTTCTTATTTTTATAGGTCTTCGAGATTCGCAGCTTTATTATACAGTTTGATGAATGTTATGCACTTTTGATGTAATGAAGAGGTACATATGCTAATCGTGTATTTGCTAATTAATATGGTAGATGGAAATAAAAAAAAATCTTTTTGCACTAATTGAAGCTAAAATTGCCTTACGTATATTTTCTTTTTTGATCAAGCATTGAGCTTATGTAATCTTAGATATAATTATGATCTGTTAATTTTTAAACATATGCAATATTAGCATAAGAACGCTTTAAATGGGACCATTCAAAAATTTGCAAACTCGTTTTTTGGATAAAAACGTAGTATAAACTGTTTGTACAATTTTTATTGCATTTATATTGAGATGCTGAATGAATTGATGTAATAAAAAATTCGAGTTTTGGAGTGGGATCGAATTTTTTCTAATTATTCTCGTCTATTCGTCGTCCTAATTCTCTTTTGTTAAATATGATAAGTAGTATATATCTTCGTAAATAGAGGAATTAATACTATTATTATTGTGTAATTCTGAAAGCTGAGCGTAAATTGTAAGTGTGAAGATTTGTTCCAAATAAAATGTTATAAATAATATTAAAAATAGAGTTATATTTGTAATCTTATGTATACTCTCGCCCACGAATCACCATGTTTTTTGCCTATATGTAAAATATTGGAAAGTACTTTTAGAGATAATAAAAATTTAGCTTATACTTTATACTTACCGATTTTATACGCGATCTGGTTTCGTTTTTTTTTTGCTTGGTCCGACAATTACCGGCGCACTCGGAGATGTCCATATACTATATTTATCAACCTAAACTTCCAAAACCATGATAAACAACTTCCTAAATGAAAAGAATGATAAATTCAAGCCATTTTCGTCTCCGAGTTCGTTTCGGGAAACTGTCAATAATATTTTAAAAGAAATGAGTGAATATACTGCGACAAACGTTAGAACACCAGGGTTGCGATATGTAATAACAGTGGTCGCCGCATCTAGGGCGGTGTAAATTGTTTATGTATGAGCGAAAGAGGAAAGTAGAGGTTCAGACGCACCAGCTTCCGTTGTTGTACGAATGGCAGCCTTGTCTGGGAAAGTACCACAGCCTTACAGCAGCCCAGCGTGAAGTAGAAGATACGTCTGGTGGGCGTGGTGGGCGTTTGGTAACCCAAGGGTTGTAGACCATTGTTTTTAATGTTTGGTCAAACAATGAAAACCGCATCTGTAAACTAAAGTAGCGTAAAGTCCAAATCTAATTGTTGATGATTGTAAAAATAAAACTTTTAAGGAGTTAACGGCAAATCGTGACGAAAAATTTAAGGAGCGGCAAGAGAAATAATTTCTTGAAGCTTTAGATGTACTGGAATGTCTATTCTCTGCTGTGATTTTTTGAAGTAGAAGGACTTACGAAAAGACTTAGTTACCGAAATCGTGGCAGATACCTTTTCTATTAAACTAATATTCGAGATTTAGTGTATGGCATTAGTGCTGTAATTACAATTACGTTTTTTGGAACTAAATTTAAATTTTCAGCAAATACGGTTAGATTTTAAACGGTATAAATTAATGGCGATGGTACTTAAAAGTTAATGGTGATTAAACAATGGTAAAGAACTGACACTACCATATTGAATTCTAATAAATTTTAAGTCCATAATTATAAGAGAGCAGCCATGTGCCATTTTAGAAAGATAATCTAAAATGATTCATGGATGAAATTTAAAAATGTTATTACTCGTGTTTATGTATAATCGGCTATTATTGATTGATTTATGTAATTTTGTAAGCTTTCAATTTTGTTATAGTAGATAGCGAATTGTAGTCTTTGGATGTTGTGTAATTGTCGCTGTTATATATTGTATGAATTTACAAATAAAACATATATTCATCGTTTGATTGTTATTCTCAATTGTAGAGTAAGCTAAATGTATCAGTATTTACATATATTTATAGGTCTATGCCTGGAGTCTGATTATAAACTCATGTGGTTTCAATTACTAAATACACTAGGTGATTGGGATGAATAAGCTGTCTATAAAGAAATTTTTATAAGCGTTTTTCCAATTTGTGACTGCTTTTAACAAGTTGGGGTTACCCTGGAAACGTACCTCACAACATAATAGAATTTCTATTATTAGTTACACATGACGAAACAGATTGACAGTATAGACCTAAGGCTATATTTTATTTTAGATGATTGGAAACTATCAGGTACTAAAAATTGTTTCCGCGAATCGATTATTATCATAAGTAATATGTTCTCATTTATTTACAGTAAGTATTATTTCTAATAGCTTAATTTTTGTAATAAATGTCTTGAAATCGTGATTAAATCGCAATTTCGACCTTATTCCTTACTCAGGGCAGTTTCCACGATCGATAGCGGTCCAATTCGAGGATCCAACCTCCATCTGAAGGTCTCTTGGATCGATATTCAGTGATGCGTAATCGTATTATCAAAATGCACTAGCTATGTTGTTTCTGCCGTGATCCTAGGTCGCTGACCTGCAGATCTCTTCCAAAGAAGCTATAAAAGCCGTTGGGCTGACTACATAGTAAACTCATTCCGTAGTACTTTAAACATAGTAAAATCATTCCGGTGTTTAAATCTGGTAGTACTTCCGACCCCAATAATTTTAGACCTATCTCTGTACTGCCAACTCTTAGTAAAATTTTTGAAAAAATCATGTTGAATCAAATGTTACAGCATTTTAGCTCTCATAATTTATTACATAACAAGCAATATGGGTTTACTAGGGGTCGCTCAACAACTGATGCGGGGTTCAGCTCGTTATGAATATTTTTGAAGCCTGGGAAAAGTCGCAGGATTCCTTAGGAATATTATGTGACTTAACCAAAGCTTTCGATCGTGTACAGCATGAGACCTTGGTCAGGAAACTACGCCACTATGGTATAAGAGATGCCGCACTCAATCTTCTGAAATCGTACTTGAGCCATCGAATTCAGAGAGTTGACGTGAATGGCAAGAGATCTCCCGGGGACCTGGTAAATATGGGGTCCCGCAGGGATCTATTCTTGGGCCTTTTCTCTTCCTCATTTACATAAATGATCTACCTTATCTTGTTAATAATAATCATGAGATAGTATTGTTTGCGGATGATACCTCTTTAATCTTTAAAGTAAACCGACGTTCTTTAAGTTATGACGATGTAAACACTATCTACTGTAGTACATTGGTTTAGTGCTAACAATTTACTGTTGAATAATAAAAAAAAACTAAATGTATTAAATTTACAACTTCCTCCAATGTTAAACATGTAAAAACTGATGTACTTTTATATGGGGAAGCGTTGGACCCTATTGACTCAACTGTATTCCTTGGCATAACTATTGATGCCAAACTGCAATGGGGCCCCCATATTAATAGACTGGCGAGTAGACTTAGCTCAGCAGCTTTCGCGCGGTCAAAAAAATAAGACAGTTAACTGATGTAGATACGGCTCGCTTGGTATATTTTAGTTATTTTCACAGTATAATGTCTTATGGCATTCTGCTTTGGGGTAACGCGGCCGACATTAATACAATCTTTATCTTACAAAAGAGAGCTGTTCGTGCAGTTTACAATCTGGGCCCCAAAGAATCGTTAAGAAACTTGTTTAAAGAGATAAAGGTATTGACTGTTGCTGCTCAATACATTTTTGAAAATGTTTTGTATGTCCATAAAAATAAGGATAAATTTTTAAGACAATAATTTTCATGATATAAATACTAGGAACAAAAATAAATTGATCCTTCCCACAAGTAGACTCCGTAAAATAAGTAAATCTTTTATGGGACAATGTATACGTTATTACAACAAAATTCCAGAAAACGTTCAAAATGCATCAATAGCTAAATTTAAAAAATAGTAAAGGAACGTTTGTGTGTTAAAGGCTACTATAATATTAATGATTATTTAAATGATAACACACTCTGGTAATGAACTGATCGCTCCAGGCTCTTTCAATCGGAGTTCTTATATTGTATTTTAACGAATTTATGTCAAACTGCTTATTTAAAAAAAAAGCCCGCTGAGTTTCTTTCGCCGGTTTCTTTTTCGAACCGGTGGTAGTGTTTTGACTATCAATAAGTGAGTGTAATGCTCCTATGTTGAATAAATACTTTTGATTTTACACTAACACAAAAAAGGGTTACACTAGTTTTTGTATGTCCGTAATATGGACAAGGAAAAACGACTGCAATCTTAAAGTTACAGATCATTTTCGGCAGGTGCACGAATTGACAGGCTTATCCGTAAGAGTACCACGGCCTCATAAAAGATCGACGTAAAGTACTGATAATATAAGTACACATATACTCTGAACTTTGTCTGATTACTGAGGTAACTCAAAATAATTCTCCATAAGGTTATTTTGAGTTGCGGTTGTTTATCTAAGAGCGATAGTAATTATGGAACACGACTAAATCGTCTGGCATCATTTGCCAGCTTCTCTAATAATGTGTAAACGATTATGACCAATTCTGCTCCAAAATGTGCATAAAACATATATTTATACAGCGTGTCGTTACCATCGCGACAATAAATAAACACACATATAGGGGATAACTTTTTAAAGTTGTATTAAACATTTAAATTCTTTAAACATCAATATTTACAGAGTTATTAAATTTTCCAAAACAAAGAATTTTAGAACCACCTTACCTATAAAAGCGTAACGTAAAGTTCATTTGTAAAGGTCACAAAGCATATGAATGGGTTGAATGAATTTAAGAGACAAAACATACTGTCAGAAGGAGAGGCTTCTAATACGATGCTGTGGCGCGAGTTGT